CAGGGCCGCAGCTTCAGGGACACTCTCGGCGGTGTCCACCGCATCATGTTGGCAGCCTACTGGCTGGATCCTACGTCTTCTGAGGACACGGGCTGAGCTGTTAATCCAGTGACTCTTGCGTTTGTATCACCCACTGTTAGATTTACGTTGTCACTAACCTGTAACCTTCTACAGAGTTTCCTGTTATAGACGCCCTAGCTGCTGCCACTCCAATCATCGATTGTTTTAATAAACGCTTTTGTGAATTATCCCACTGTCTCTCTTACCTTGAATACTGGGTCCTCTCTTCTGAATCATGACAAATACATTTATTTTGGTGAGTTTTGGTGTGGCCAGGGGCTGATTTTTACCTTATTGGATTGGTGGTGGAGCCTTTTGTTTGAGCTTTCTGTCCCCGTTTTTTGACTGTATTCTGTGGCAATGGGTTTTTGGTAAACATTTATGGATTTAACCTTCAAACCTGTTTTTCATCCTCAATCATATCAAATTCAACAATAACCTGCCATGTAAATCTGTACATTCCATAATTTTACCACTTCTGGACACACATCAAGCTAAAACTAAGAGAGTGAGTCGCATTTATTCATATTTGCCATCATACCATTTAAACACATTTCCTATATCTTGCTGAACATTGAATTTAAGGACTTTTCAGGATCAGTTTTCTCAAATTCATGACCCACAAGCTAAATCTTTTACCTTCTTCTATAAATGGATACATAATTTCCAAACTACTTTAATGCGAAGCACATTTAATAGAAACTGGCATAAAAATTGTTTGATCAGATTCAATAACGAAGGTGTATTGACTATATGCAGAGGTGTCAAAAGTATTAATGTTTATTACTCAAGTAGAAGAAGAAATCCCTTTCATAGAAGGTAAGAGTATCAACTTAAGCTTTTTACTCAAGTAAAAGTGTAAAAGTAATAGTTTTAAAACTACTTAAAGAGTAAAAGTAATGCAGAAGAAATTGTTAAGGACAAATACTTAACTGTACTATCCTATAAAAGGAAGAGTTTTCTAGAATTCTGGATGATAACTTCTTATACTTAACTTTTTTACGTTTTATAAACTGGAACAGTGTCAAATTTAACTTTGCAGCATATTAAAAACAATTTATTTTGCTATGTGGTGAAGAACAAGTGCAGCACCACAAAAAATAGTTTGGATAAAACAAATTATTTAGATGTTTTCTTATTATTTTAAATACAAACAAGCCATAACGAAAACGAGCTTAAAATCAAAAAGTCTATTTGTAAAATATAAGGAAATGAATGTAGACGAGAACGAGGTTGATTCCAGGCGGTCAGCTGTCAACAAGATACGGTGGGTGCCGCCTATAGAGTCCCAGACGCTCTAGTCCCAGAGGATGGAGAACAATTAGGCGACCAGATCCGAAGGAAGGCAGGATAATCCAGAGGGCAAAGCCAAAGCTGGCGTCGAGGACATGTTCAGGGATCAGAAACAAGAGATCAGAAGTCTGAAAAGGTTCCAGAGGGAAATCCAGGTTAGTGACAGGAAGCAGCTCCAAGTTAATTAAACAGACAAAATCCAGCAAGAGTCCAAAAACAGGTCAGGATCAGATTATCAGAAACACTAAGGTAACCCAGGCACACTCTGACTGCTGGCTCGAGAATAATCTACCGCTGATGACTGGTTAGATCTGGTTAAATAGAGGCATGACAGGTGGAGCAGATGAACGGTAATGAGAAAACAGGTGGAGCTAAGCAGGTGAATGTAATGAGTAATCTAGTCATTATTAATTTGTATTTTGTTACTTGACACCTCTGACTATATAACCTACCTTCAGATCCACAAGTCATGGACATGTGTAGTGATGGCCAGAAGACTCTTTGTTGAAAAAAATGTAAAAGCCTTATACAGGTGCTGGTCATAAAATTAGAATATCATGAAAAAGTAGATTAATTTCAGTAATTCCATTTAAAAAGTGAAACTTGTATATTATATTCATACATTACATACAAACTCATATATTTCAGATGTTTATTTTGTTTAATTTTGATGATTACAAATGACAACAAATGAAAATCTCAAATTCATCATATCAGAAAATTAGAATATTGTGAAAAGGTTCAAAATTGATGGCCCCTGGTGCCACACTCTAATCAGCTAATTAACTCAAACCACCTGCAAAAGCCTTTAAATGGTCTTTCAGTCTAGTTCTATAGGCTACACAATCATGGGGAAGACTGCTGACTTGACAGTTGTCCAAAAGACGACCATCGACACCTTGCACAAGGAGGGCAAGACACAAAAGGTCATCGCTAAAGAGGCTGGCTGTTCACAGAGCTCAGTGTCCAAGCACATTAATAGAGAGGCGAAGGGAAGGAAAAGATGTGGTCGAAAAAAGTGTACAAGCAAGAGAGATAACCGCACCCTGGAGAGGATTGTGAAACAAAACCCATTCAAAAATGTGGGGGAGATTCACAAAGAGTGGACTGCAGCTGGAGTGAGTGCTTCAAGAACCACCACACACAGACGTATGAAAGACATGGGTTTCTGCTGTCGCATTCCTTGTGTCAAGCCACTCTTGAACCACAGACAGCGTCAGAAGCGTCTTGCCTGGGCTAAAGAGAAACAGGACTGGACTGCTGGTGAGTGGTCCAAAGTCATGTTCTCTGATGAAAGTAAATTTTGCATTTCCTTTGGAAATCAAGGTCCCAGAGTCTGGAGGAAAAGAAGAGAGGCACTTCATCCACGTTGCTTGAAGTCCAGTGTAAAGTTTCCACAGTCAGTGATGGTTTGGGGTGCCATGTCATCTGCTGGTGTTGGTCCATTGTGTTTTCTGAGGTCCAGGGTCAACGCAGCCACATACCAGGAAGTTTTAGAGCACTTCATGCTTCCTGCAGCTGACCAACTTTTTGGAGATGCAGATTTCATTTTCCAACAGGACTTGGCACCTGCACACAGTGCCAAAGCTACCAGTACCTGGTTGAAGGACCATGGTATCCCTGTTCTTAATTGGCCAGCAAACTCTCCTGACCTTAACCCCATAGAAAATCTATGGGGTATTGTGAAGAAGAAGATGCAATACACCAGACCCAACAATTCAGAAGAGCTAAAAGCCACTATTAGAGCAACCTGGGCTATCATAACACCTGAGCAGTGCCACAGACTGATCGACTCCATGCCACGCCGCATTGCTGCAGTAATACAGGCCAAAGGAGGCCCAACTAAATACTGAGTGCTGTACATGCTCATACTTTTCATGTTCATACTTTTCAGTTGGCCAACATTTCTATAAATCCTTTGTTTTTATTGGTCTTCAGTAATATTCTAATTTTCTGATATGATGAATTTGAGATTTTCATTTGTTGTCATTTGTAATCATCAAAATTAAACAAAATAAACATCTGAAATATATGAGTTTGTATGTAATGTATGAATATAATATACAAGTTTCACTTTTTAAATGGAATTACTGAAATCAATCTACTTTTTCATGATATTCTAATTTTATGACCAGCACCTGTATAAGTTTAAATGCTCGCCGGGGCCACAAAGTAGTGCATAAAAATCTGCCAAGTATATAGCTACATCTTAATTTTATGAAATAATGGACTTTCATAGAATGATATCCTAAAATGCTTTAGTACACCTTTAAACACCTTAATCTGAACAAATTGCTCCGGAACAGGAGAAAACTTCCTCTTCTTGCTCCAGTTCATAGATAAATTCTCTACTTAAAAAAGACCACATTTATTTCTAGTGGGACAAAGTTAGATTTAGAATTATATGACACAAAAGTCCCCAACACAATCTGGTCATCACGATAAATGTCGTTGCTACATATAATAAGGATGTAATCTACATTTCTATTCATTGTGATTTTAGGTGAAATAATGTACATTCACAATAATATGTTAATTTCTTAATTCTTTACCAATTCATGAATTGTTAATTTGGTTAATAGATCAGGATGTAGATATCGGGCTAACTGAGCTATGTTCCATTCTTTAAGAATATTTCAACACCATTCAATTTCTATTGTAGGAAACAGTCAATAATACCTATTTCAAATTTAGGCAAAGGATAGAAACTATCATTACGGTAATAGAAGGTAAACATCTTTTTATAACTCTATTCTAAGCTACACAGTGACCCAATGACGTAAGAACCCCACATTGAGAATTTATTCATCATTTTAGAAAGTCATATTTAAATGTTAGGTTGTAAAATTCAGACCCACTTTCACTTTCAAAACCGTATTTTTGTGATGAACTCATGTAGCATGGTTCGACAATGTAGCTTTGCCCCTGCTCTGGAATTTGATCGATTTGCACCAAATGTAACGACTTTCATGGCAAGTTTCTTTTTATGTCTGTTTTTCACTTTCCAGGGCCTTGAATTTATTTCAAATTCACAAAGTTTCAAGGCTTCCAAGGACCAGTGGGAATCCTGTATATAAGAGTCTGTTTTCTGTCTGGACTGCACTTAATTTATGTTCTAAATTAAAACCCAAATAACCAGCCTACACAAAGCTTTAAGGAGTGAATAGCCAATGTCAAGTTTTTATGTTTTGTGGAGTTTAGAGAATAAAAATCTGGTTCCGTCTTTATTTAATTTTCTCATTTTTAATCATACCATTAAGGCTTGGGAGAACAAAACAAATGTTTTCAAATAAAGAAACGGGGAATAAGCTGCAATGTAAAAATGGCAGCCATTTCATTCATGTGCTAACTGGAGTGGGCCCTGATTCCTCTTAGAATAGTTTTTGTGTTTGAATATGTTTCTCCTGTCTGCCTGCTGGTCAGGTCAGGCTAAAACCTCATTTGCTGGATGAAGTTGTGTCTCTGTTAAGTCAGGCTAACGTCATGTTCAAGTCTAACAAATAAACAATGTCTGCAGAACCTAGTGAGCTCCATCTATTTAAAAAATCATTTCCTGAAAAAAGAATTAATTATCTGTATGAATTATTTTTATAAGTTTTATTTAGTAAATAATTCACCTTTTTTTCCCATTTTTAATGAACAGTAACACAGTCCATCCATGCACTGAAGTTAAAAATACTCAGGGAGAACCACATTTACATTGTGCAAAGTCTGAAACATGTGGTTGTGATAAAAAAAAATAATAATTTAGAATCCAGTTTAGCAGTGGAGGAAAAACCACATGTATTGATGTTTCCAGCTCGAGGAAACCAGGGTTTTAGAGGTTAAAAGCAGCAATATTTTCAGTATGACATAACAATTTAAAGATTCAACCACAGAACAAAAACAAATGGATGACAGGAGATATAGGGTCACCTTCAAGTTCAAGTTCAAAGTAGAAAAATAGTAAGTTTCTGAATTATTTCAGCAGAAGCTCAGTTGTTCTTTGCATTTTTCCGGCTCCACACTGGGTCTCGTGGAGGAATATAGTCCTTGTGAAGCTGCTTTGGAGCTGCCAGCTGCTGAACACGAACACTTGCTGAAGCCTTTCTTGCTGCTCTGGTGACCTGATTGAAATTAAAAGTGAGAAAAACAGAGAAAAGGTTGGATTTAATAAAAAAGCCAACTCTGCTGAGGAGTTATAAAACAAAAAATAAATTCATGACAGATCTGAAATAATGTCTGTTAAAGATGGTCAATAGTGAAGAGTTTGTATTTCATGTTTTATAAAATGCAATTCAATAAGTAACAGGTTGATTATTGTGGTAGGAGGTGTTCTTACGGTCCAGATTGTGTCCTCAAGGTGTCCCAGCTGGTAGCAGATGTTGCTCTGTTTCAGTTTAGGTAGCGACAGCTGGGCGACTCTCTGAGATATCTGAGCTGCTCTGGAAGCAAAGGAGACAACAGAAGCTGCGCTCTGTGGAAAAAGATGGAAATGCCTCATTCAAACAGTAAGAAATTAGTTTAAATTGCTTTTCCCTTTAGTTTCCATCCATCCATCCATCCATCCATCCATCCATCCATTGAAAGTATTTAAGCAAAAAAAACATGATAAAGCAGTTTTGTTTTTTAATGGAATGTAAAGTTTCTCTACAGGAACAACCAGGTAAAGCGGAAGTAACTTACCTCCCTATTGCTGCTGTAGTCTGGATGTGTCTGTTTGGGTTGTGAGAGCTGCAGCAATCGAGCAGTGATGACAACATTTCTCATTCTGGGATAAACGTGCCAAATAGGACAGTTATTTTCACACTGAGGTGTGTGCAGAGGCCTGAGGGACAAGCAGGAACACGTTCAATATCTTGCCTGGAAAAAAACCTGTATGTATATATATATATATATATATATATATATATATATATATATATATATATATATATATATATATATATATATATATATATATACGTATATATATATATATATATATATATATATATATATATATACCGTCCTTGTAGCTTTATTTGTTTCATAATCTTCACTCTAACAAAGTATAAAAATGTCAAAGTGAACTGAAATGAAAGGTCATGGCTACAACTTTTTAATCAAAATTCATTTTTCATAAATACTAAATATTCAGAAAATCCAGAATTGTGCAGATTAGTATTAGTTGTGCTATATACAGATACTGTATTTACTTAATGCCAACCTTTACACGACCTGCTAATCTGGAGAGCAATCATTAGACATTACATGCTGACTGTTTGGGATAAATGCCAGTAAAATGTATCACTATACCTACTATAAAAAAAATTTAGGCATGCAGTTTAATCTTTATTTTGATAAAACGAGATTAAAAGTAAGCACTTAGCTAACAAACATTTAAGGTGGATCTGGCTGAAAACAAGGTTTGAAGACGTCGAAGAAATATGTCACTTTAAAGCATGGTGGAGAATGAATGATGCTTTGGGGCTGATTCTAATTCAATGCTTAGGAGAGCTTTTTAAAGTGGTATCTGTTATAAATGCCAATCTAAATCTGAGCCAGGGGAATGAAACTGGGTCATTATTGGGTCTTTCAGTAGGATACTTACCCAAACATCAAATTAATCCAGAAATTATTCATCAGACATGAAGTCAAGTCTATGGATGTAAATCCAATAGAAATCATTGTAATTACTTCCTATTTACTTGTACATCCCAAGTAAATAGGAAGACTTCACAAACTGATATCAGTGGCACGTATCCCAGAAATATGTGGCCTTGGACTGTGGGAGGAAACCGGAGTACCCAGAGAGAAGCCAGGCATGCTCAGGGAGAACATGCAAACCCCCTGCATGGGTTCAAGGCATATTTCTGTACATAATAAAGCTTGTTGCTGTTCTTTACAGATCATTATTATGTTCAAACTTGAATGCGAACCTGTCTTCTAATTCAGAGAGTTTTACAGCATGGGTGGAAAGTAAAACATTTTTGGTAAGACTCTAAAGAAAATATCTTTGATATTATGGATTTCTCTTGCTGTTGGCTGTTTACTAAAACTCCACCTCTGATTGGTTGATCAGGCCCTCTGGATGGCTGCTGTTCTACTAACAGCTGATGTTATACTCAAAACGAATGATTAGCCTTTGAGACTTTGCTGCCAACAGTGTTTTGTTTGCTCTGCTATATTTGACTGTTACTGATTTTTTTGTTGTTGTTTTTTGGTATTTTCAATCTATGCTGCTCGCTAGGGTTAGGCTCCATCTGCTTAAACCAATTACTGGATCCTTTTACTCTAATATTATCTTGTTTGTTGTGAGGATCCAAATTGAGGAATCTTGTTTTAAAACATATTTACAACAGTTAATATGTTTTATAATATGTTTATATATATATATATATATATATATATATATAGACTTGACTATATATATAGACTTGACTATTTATATATATATATATATATATATATATATATATATATATATATATATATATATATATATATATATATATATATATATAAATATGCATTTTTCTGGTGATTAACTTTGTTGGGTGAAATTAAACACTGCTGTAAATAATCTGTGCAACAGTTAAACAGATTCTCTAAAATTAGTAATTCCTGTTAAGGAAATCTTACAGCTAAATAATTTGAAGGCTGTTAAAATTCTGATTTGTTTAAATAAAATTTCTGGTTTCAAGATTAAAGATTTTTTTATTACTCTTCTAATGTTTAGAGCTCTTTAAGTTGCTTCATGTGAGCTGGATCAGTGACAGTGATTCCTTTGACGTCTTTACCCCGGTTCCTGAGGACCACGGCTCCTGATTCTGGGCGCTGACAAGCGCAGAGTGTTTTCATATTGAGACGCCTTGGAGGAAGGATGCTTGGTTTTCCTGAAGGAACATGCCGCTTCCTCGTCCACCTGTTTCCTACAGGAAATTGAAAGTTTTTTTTAAATGTTGTGTGTCTCAAACAAAAAGGCCCTGAAGGAGGAAGATGGAAGCAGACAGAACAATGAACTGTAACTCCTCATTTAATGCTGGAGGTATAAGTGAGAAACCATCTGAGCCCATCAGGGAGGATTATATAAGGATACATTATATAGAAATACTAACCTATTGTTTTACTGAACATGAAAACCAAAGATTAATATAAATCCAAATAAAATGAATGGGCAGTCTATTTTACCTGTCACCAAACAAGACAAGCGCAAATGGGGAAAATTAATCTGCTAATAATTTAACAGATGGTTGATTCTCACTGACTCTTAAATATTTGTGACATTTTCTCCAAAAAAACAAGAAGAGCAAATTTTTTACCTGCCATTTACCAGACTAAAAGCTATAGAGCAAACATCTTATTTTCACTCAAATTCTTTTACCTTAACTTATTGGTATTTTTCTTATTTTATTACTATAATTATAGGGAAAAACTTTTTTCTTTAAACCTTTTTCACTTGATGGTCTGGTATTATTTTATTATTTGGTATTATCTTGGTAAATATGTTTTTTGTATTTTATCAGTGTAAATAAATGCAGTTTCTTATTTCTCTATAAACAACTTTAACATTAACGTTATTTTATTTTTCAATTATTTAAATTAGAAGAAAAAAATGCTTTTCACCAGGTCTCTTTTAAATCTCCCATCATTTCCGAAGGCCAAATTTATAGAAGCACTAGTTTCTGAAGATGTTAAGGTGTCTAATTTGGTCAAAAAAATCAGACCACAGACATGACAGTCTTTCTAAGTGGCAGCTTTTTGGCTTTTAGAAAAACTCAAATAAATTTAGAACAACATTGTGCTATTCTATAACGGTCACCTTTTAGCTCAAGCAGAGGGGAAAAATAAAATCAGAAAACAAAAACAACAACACACGACTAGTGCTTTGTTGCATCACCTCTGGCTTTTCTAACAGCTTGCCTTCTCAGAGGCATGGAGTTAATGAGTAACTAAGTCTTCAACAGTTTGACTCCAACTTTGTCTGATTGCTTTTGCCAGATCAGCTTTGCAGGTTGGAACTTTAAAGGAACCATTATCTTCAACTTTCATCCCAAATTATCAACTGAATTGAAATCCAAACTATTTACAGGGTGCATCCTTCTTCAAGGAATGTTCTCACAGTTGTCCCTCTATGAAAGGGTTCTTTGAATCCAGTCCTCCAGGTCCAGTGTCCTGCACCCTTTAGATGTGTCTCAGCTTGACCACAACTGAGTCAAATAATTTCTGCAGTCATCTTAATAAATCTGATTGAAATGGCCCCAAACAGAGGTTCCAGCATCCTCCAATACAGATTCATGATTCACAGCTCCTTATGGCTTTCATCCAGTTATCCACAGTCCATGATTGTTTTTCCTTAGCCTGACCCAAATAAGGTAAGGAAATCTGTGAATAAGGGAAGCTGTGAATCTCTGTCGCTCCTCCAGAGTTACTCTCAGCCTATTGGCTTTTTGTCAGATTGTTTTCTTCTGTTCTGGTGTTAATAACAGCTTACATTTAGCTTTTCTAGGTGCAAAATCTATTTCCTTTAGGCAGTTTCTAACAGGTCAGTCATAAACGTTTTCTCGAATTTGTTGTGCATGTTCTGTTTTTAAGGCATTTTACTCTGTTTTGCTGTTTTGATGTCTTCCATTGTCTATATTACCCATAAGCTTTTTTCTAACAACCTTCCCATGTTGTTTGTAATTGGTCCAAATTTCTGACGCAACCGAATGTACAGTCACGGCCAAAAGTATTGAGAATGACACAAATATTATATTTTCACATGATCTGCTGCCCTCTGGTTTTCATGTGTGTATGTCAGATGATCACATACAGAAATACAATTGCAACCATATTATGAATAACAAAAGCTTTTAATGACAGAAGGAGTTAATGCAGCAAGTCAGTATTTGCAGTGTTGACCCCTCTTCTTCGGGACCTCTGCAGTTCTCCCTGGCATTCTCTCAATCAACTTCTGGACCAAATCCTGACTGATAGCAGTCCATTCTTGCACAATCAATGCTTTCATTTTGTTAGAATTCCTATGTTTTCGTTTGTCCACCCGCCTCTTGATGATTGACTACAAGTTTTCAATGGGATTAAGATCAGGGGAGTTTCCAGGTAGCCCGATCCTGCGGCAGAAACACTTTTAAGATATGGTCCTGGCACTTGCTGGTCGTTTTTGGGCGCCCTGGAGCCTTTTTGGACACAATGGAACCTCTCTCCTTGAAGTTCTTGATGATGCGATAGATTGTTGACTGAGGTGCAATCTTTCTAGCTATGATTTTCTTTCCTGTTAGACCATTTTTGTGCAGTGCAATGATGACTGCACTTGTTCCTTTAGAGATAACCGTGGTTCACAGAAGAGAAACAATGATGCCAAGCACCAGCCTCTTTTTAAAGTGTCCAGTGGTGTCATTCTTACTTAATCATGACAGATTGATCTCCAGCCCTGTTCTCATCACCACCCACACCTGTGTTAATGGAGCAATCACTGAAACAATGTTAGCTGGTCATTTTAAGGCAGGGCTGCAATGACGTTAAAATGTGTTTTGGGGGATAAAGTTAATTTTCTAGGCAAATATTGACTTTGCAATTAATTGCTGTTACACTGATCACTCTTTATAACATTCTGGAGTATATGCATATTGCTGTTATAAAAACTGAAACAGCAGACTTTGTAAATATTAACATTTGAATGATTCTCAAAACTTTTGGCTATGACTGTACAAAAAACCCCCACAATCTTTTGGAACATTGTGTGATGATTTACTTTCTGCTATGTTGGTACAAACCGCTCTCCAAGGTTTGATCCCTTTGTTTTAATTGCAGAATAGCCAGCAGATCTAATCTGATGCAGATTCAGGGTGATTCCATATTTGTTTCTCTCTACATGAGCTGATAAAGTGGTTGTTACTCACAACCACAATATTTGTTTTGCTTGATTTCTTTAAGTGTTTCTTAAGACTGTTTTTTTTTTTTTTACATTGGGCTACTCACCTATATTAGTTTTGTGTCATCTGCAGCTGTTCCTAAGATATTTGGTTTTGTTATATCCAGTAACGTCTTCCTATGGGCAACGAGTTGAAGGCACAAACTAAACTGTTCATAATTTATCATTTATGGTACGCCAGCAGCATTCATAATATGTAGGCAAATCACTGTCGCATTTATATTTTTATATTTATATAAGAGTTTGGTGATTCCATGACTGTTTTTCCCAAAGGGTTGTAGAATGAGAGATATTAGTAAAAACTATTTATATTCCATTGGAGCTCCAAAGTATGACAATAATTTTGACCTTTTTAGCTGTAGGGGATACTAGCATTAAGAGTTTATTGTTTATTTTGTGGGTAATACTGGTTCATGGCACAAGATGGATTGAGGAATGAAGAAGGAAAACTATCATGATATTCTTCAGCTTTTACTTGCACTGCAAAAAACTAAGTAAGTTTACTTTTCTTAAAATAAGACCATTTTTTTTCTTGAATTAAGCAGCTAAGTGAAATTTAGAGAAAGTTAAAATAAGAAAAAACAAATGCAGCCTCTTATTTCAAGTGCATAATATCTAATTATCTTATTTTATACTTATTTTAAAAGTAAAAAGGGTCATTCCACTATTATTTACCTGCTCAAATTAAGGGTAAATACACTTAATTTAAGACATTTTTACAAATTTATAGATCGTTTTTGCAGTGTAAAGGTATAGTGGAGGATGTTCTTTTTCCGGGTAGATTATCAAAACAGGTGGTCCTCCTAATTGTTTCTCACATGCTTTTAATAGTCGTTCCCTTTAGGGAACAGAGTGGTGCAGGTGGATCTTTTCACTATACGTTTAAAAAAAAGCCTACAAAGAGATAAATACATCAAGCCTTTTTGAAAGACTGGTTTAGGAAAACATCTATTGGAAAAATAAATTTGGTAAAAAAAACATTTCAACAAATAATGGCAAGAGCTCATATGTGTATTTGAACTATATGAAGTTTTCTGAACCTGTGTGGATCAGAAAAAAATTCATTATAAATCTAGTCGAGTGGGTGTAAAACTATGTGCACTGTAGACCAGGCATAATTTCTAACATCCGTCTTTGAAACACAACCTTGAAAATAATTCTCATAAAATGAACAGAGGAGGAAAAAAACTGTCTGTTGGCTCCTTTTATCTCATGCTACAGTATAATTATGATTATCAGGGACCCTTCCTGTGAGGGCCGCTGATTGAATTACACTAAATACTGCTGAGGCGGACGGCTAACAACAAACTCTACCTACAATCCTCCTTTATCACCATCTGATTGATCCTGAGAGCTCTCAGGGGAGATCCCCTCAGATCTGGCGTCTGTCCTAAACAACACTTTGCAGCCTCTTATATCCACTTTATGAAAACTCCCACACAAATATGTTGATTCATCACTGCATTGAAAGCAAAACACAATCATTCTTCCCTCTCAAAGCCTTTTCAGCCACTCATCAATAATGTTGCAGGTGCTGCTCTTGCCTCCGGGGGTCCTCCCTTGCTGAGAAGTCTCTTTTGTGCTGGGCCAGGTATTGGATTCTTGAACTGGGAGTAGCTCTGAGTGCAGAAAAGGAGATAGGCCGTATCGGCTCCTGGTTGCCCCAGCTCAGCTTCTCACTGATCGAAAAGGGAAGAAAAAGTTTCCTAAGTAAAACAAAATACACCACAGAGGGAAGAGCACTGCCATTTAAGATGTAAAATTGTGGTTAGATAGTTTGCAGAAAACGTATTTTAGAGAGTATGTATCAAAAACCACAGTGACTTTAGCTTTTTCTTGGATGTGTTTTAAGGTTAGAACATTTTTAAGCTGTAAAGCAGATCAGCAGAAGTAACTGTGGGGCTTTCCACAGTCTCCAGAAAGAAAAGCCTCAGATGCTCACCAAGGAGTCGTCGCCCAGATTGTTTTTGAGGTTTTATGCTGTGCCAGCTCCAAGATTCTGCCAAATCACACAACATCCACAAGACATGAATCAACATTAATACGAGGCTCTATAGGTGACTTTAGGGTGAAGTTTAGCATCCAGTTACAACCTTAACCACATAAGTCATTAAAAACTTATAGATGCATGAACAATAACATAACAGCACCTCTTGGAGGGACCAAATCTTGGCCGGACACCTGCTGGTTCAAATACATTAGAGTTATTAAAATGCAAAAAATTTGAAGATGTAGGAGAGAAACCATAAACTCACCTTGTTTTCCAGACACCATCCTCATCGCCTTGGCTGGATGAGTCAGCCTGATGCCCGTTAAGGGTGTAACAGTAATCTGCTGCTGTTGCTGTGGAGTCATGAGTCCATAGCAACCATCTGATGAGTCCATGAAACAGGAGTCAGCTCAGTTAACACAACTACCTTATCGTCTCAAGGATGTTGAAAGTGATACAAACGGGTCAGCACAGAGGAGTGGTTTATTACCCGTTACTTTACGAAGATTTTCTTAAACATGAGTAAATATCTGGATCTACTGCACATTTTCTGACATTTATTTGACCAATAAACGATGAAACTCAATGGAAAACCAAAAAGTGATCCACCACTGAGGCTACATTAGTATGAACAACCTTGTCATGTTCTTCCGTCGATACGACGAGGGCCATCTATTCATCCTATGGTTGGGGAAGTTGGGGTCAAAGGGGATGGGATGGAAGGATGATATATGACTTGCCCCATGACTTTGTTTAAAGTGAGGAAGAGTTTCGCAAGTCGACATCACTCTCTCGTCTGAGACCATCTAGATCAAGTGGCAAGACAGGTCAAGATGACTGGAGACAGGAATGGATGCAGTGTCCTGTCACGCGTCTGGTCCTGCCACACCCTATGCGCTCCACGACGCATTGCTGGCAATCGCCTTTCACAAGAAGTACTTCCTGGGCGCTGTCCGCCAAATTCAGACTTCACAACAGTTGGAGGTCAAGGATGAGCAACTACCACATATCATTAGGTATGCTCACAGGGTGAAACAGGAGTCACACCTAGAAGCCAATTAACCTAACAGTCATGTTTTAGGACTGTGGGAGGAAGCCAGAACACCCGGAGAGAACTCCATGCAGAAAGACCCCAGGCCAGGAATCAAACCCAGAATCTTTTTGCTGCAAGGCAGCAGTGCTAACCACTGCAGCACTGAGCAGCCAAGTACAACTTTGTACAGCATAGGTACCTACAGAGAAGAAGTGTTTGCCTGTATGGACATTTTTTTCTTAGCTTTTAGTCAGACCTAAGTGGGTTTAAACAGTAGTTACAAAGGATTGCTCCTCCTTGGTTTACACAAAGGTTTTAATGCCACCACCAACCAACTGAATAATGAAAATGAATGTGCACAACAACCGTATTTTCCTAAAAAAAATCACTGCAGACATACTGGAGTTTCCTAAAGCCCTTACTCATAAACATACGCACACTTACACATACATCACGTTTTAATTAAAGGTATGTTTGATCTTTTGGCTTCAAGTTCTACATTGTTTGTCTCACATGCCAATCTTTGTGACACGCTTATCTTATGCCAATGCGAATGCTCTCGCTGTGTGTGTTTACTTCTAATATTTATGCATTCAGTTGGTTTCAGTTTCAGCCATCATTGTAGCCCCACTGCTTCTATTTATTCTTTGAAAATTGCACAGAATTGCAAGAAGTAGTAGTAAAGTTAGCTAGCGTAAATGATCTACATTTGGAAATAAAATAATTCATTATACTTTTAATCAATTATACTTTTATAAACAGATACATTAAGCAGGTTCAATTCAATTAAGTTTTTTTTATATAGTACCAGTTCACAACACGTCATCTCAAGGCACTTTACAAAGACAAAACAACCAGATCATACAGCCAAATTGATTTCAAGTTTTCTATCTAAGGAAAGCCAGCTAATTGCTTTGGCTCATTGACTCTTCAGCAATCCCTCACACCGAGCATGCTTGTAGTGACAGTGGGGAGGAAAACTCCCTTTTAACAGGAAGAAACCTCCAGCAGAACCAGGCTCAGTGTGAGCGGTCATCTGAAGGGGGTCGACTTGGGTTCAAGGTGACAGAAGCAAACATAGAAAAAGAAGCAGATATACAAAAGGCAACTGTCACCAAGCTCCAAAGGCGGTCCCATCCAGGAAATGCACAGCCGGACAGATGAGCTCCGAACCAGCTCCCATTTGAAAGGATGAAAGAGAGCACATCCAGACAGTCACAGAGAAACAGGACTGAAAAAAACAGGCCGAGCTCCAACATCTATAAACAAAAAGCATTGATGGCAGCAGCAGACAAGATGAAGCTACTTTGAGAAAAAGCAGAGAGAGGATAAAGTTAGAGATTGAACTAACAGATTTTGCAGAGTGGGAGAATAGAGATAGAATGATCAAAAGGTGTCCCTATGTCCTCCAGCAGTCTAAGCCTATAGCAGCATAACTAAAGAGATAGCTCTGGATAACCTGAGACACTATAAGCTTTATCAATAAGGATTCTTTTTTCCCCCAGCATTTTATTGTCATTACACCCGCACAAGTACAGAGCAACGGAATCTCTGTATTTAAGCCGTCCCCTTGGGGAGCGGTGGGCTGCCATGGTGCGGTGCCCGGGGAGCAGTTTGGGGTTAAGCTGATAAAGGTTCTCAGTCATCCAGGTCATAGTCATTCCGTAAAAATTCAAAAAATATCCACTGGACTTGGTTTTCAAGATTTGAAGACGTTTCGCCACCTCTCCAGGAAGCTTTCTCAATTCAAATGTTTGGATCCGCAGTGAGTTTGCCATATAAGACTCAAACTCACTGCGGATCCAGACATTTGAATTGAGAAAGCTTCCTGGAGAGGTGGCGAAACGTCTTCAAATCTTGAAAACCAAGTCCAGTGGATATTTTTTGAATTTTTACGGAGTGTGGGGTTAAGGGACCCAGAGTGGCAATCCATGAACGCAGAACCTCTGGATTCAAAGCATAATGCCCTAACCACTAGGCCTGCCTCACAGACTATAACTGGGTTTAGTTATTTATCACTAATTACTAAAGACTCACTTCACTATTCTAAAAAGAGCAGGAATGCATTGTCATTTTTAATGTTAGCATATTAATGTGGAAAAACTAATTACTGCTATTATTACATTTTAGTCAATAGTCAGACCACATTGGAGATTCCACTAGTATCACTGCTGCCACCCTCCGGTTTAGAAGGGAACTGCTTGTTCCAGAGCTGGTGAGGTATATCTGGCTACTCCTCACCACTTTTCAAAGCGACCGCTGACACACTTCCTCTTTGGCTCAAGAATCCAAATACAACACATCGGTATATTTAGACTTAGCCTCACTGTTGACAATTCTATGAATTCAAATGGAGCCCCAGGTACGCTGTGTTGAAGCCCTTTAATATAAGCTGGCCCTGTTTTACCACTGAGCCAACATTTTGAGGTCATTCTTTAAATGAGAAAAGAATTTCTAAATCCATAACATCATCTAAAGGAGTAAAGTCCAAAAACACACAAAAAGGTTTGTAGAAACAGTTAATTTTCAAGAGTAAAAAAAGATGCCTTTCACACATTTTTTTCCCTTTAGTGTAGCTCAGATTTTGAAACAGTAAATCACATGGGTAAATTACAAACAACATCCACCTTTCTCAAAATTTTAAAAACAAACTCCCTTAAAGCTTTGGTGAAAATAAACATTTCAACAGTATTTTTTACAATTTAGTCCCCTAGTAAAAAAAAAAAAACTCTTAAAGTATGTAACAATGATGCCATGAATAGATGAGATAAAGCAAAACCTTTTAATGTCCTCCCCGAACTATAAATAAGAAAGCTAACAGAGTCAACAGTTAAGACAAACAGTAAAACAGAAGGTTGGAGCTGTTTTACTCTGTAACGGATTTATTACAAGTGAGGATAAACGCTGGATGATTTCTAAACCGCCCTAAACCTGCTGCCAGAAACCATCTGAATGATCAGGTCCCGAGCATCCTGGACCCCTGAGCTGAGCTCTGAGTCTCCCTTTTTCACATGGGTACCGATGAGGAACAAAGCGCGCTCTCCTGCGTCAGACAGGGACAGTGCGTCATGCAGGTCAGTGATGGTGCAGGAACTTGGAAGATCCTGGAACCAAAAGTAAACCAGGAGGTCCAAATGAACTTCAACAAGACCATGAAGCAACTTTAACACTTTCTAACTTTAACAGTTAGTTAACTGAAGAAAAAAAAGTCTGGAGTGTCTCTGGTTATCTCTCACCTGTTTGTTGGCCAGTACCATTAAAGGCAGGATGGGGTCAAGCCTCAGCACCTCATGTAAATGTTCCTTGGCGACCGGAAACCGCTCAGGGTCTGAGGAGTCGACGGCGAACACCAGCAGCAGAGCTTTGGACAGATACTTCTGCCAATATGGCCGCAGATTCTCTTTACCTCCGACTGAAATACAAACAGATATTTAACTTCTAACTAATGTCTGGAGAGCAGCTTTATCTCCTAGTCACTTTCAGTTATTGTGCCACCTACAGGACACAAAAGGCAAAATATACAATTTAATGTAATTAAGAGGTCAGACATGAATGAGATTATTGCTGAAACAATCGAGTTAATTGATTATTGAAATAACCTTCAACTAATTAGTAATCGATTAATCGTTAAATGGAGAATAGAGACTCTTAAACATGCCTTTAGCTGACAGAGCGACCCACTTAGAGTAGTAATTATATTAAAATTGCAACAAAAAAAAAAAAAAATATATATATATATATATATATATATATATATATATATATATATATATATATATAAACATTTTAGATTTAAGATAAAAAAAAAAAATTCATCCGTCAATATGCTTTATCCAGAACTCCTCAAGTGGAAGAGTTAGATTGTGTGAAAAATCTTCTTTAAAGAACCTTTGGCAATCTGATTATTATTTATCAAAAAAATAATAAACAGATTAATCATGTGCACAAAAAGCAAGGATGTAGCAAGTGTGCAAATAAGCAAAACTAATTCTAATGGTGCTTTAATTATCCTTAGAACTGCAATTTAAGTTGTTGGTGGAACATCAGAGGTAAATGTGTCCAGTTTTCAGCTTGTGGACCCTGGTATTCCACTGTGACAATCATAACAATGATAAAGACACTGTTCCACATGATATTCTGAACAAACTGCAATAAAACATCCAAGTAGAGACATTTTACTACTGTTGAGAAGAGTAGTATCCATCTTGAATTGTACCATTCTGATGCACCAGCATTCTGACTTTTAGGGGCATTCTGGTTAAAATGTACAACTTGGAAGGTGAAGATTTCAACTGCCGATAATCAATGAATAGACCATTACATCTCTGGGATAACCTAATAGATGTCAGCAGCCATATTTCTGCAGTGATAAACTGTTGTGTTCTTCCTCCCAACATCGGTTTCTGAATTAGCATCATGCAAAGCATTAATGTCTGTGTCTTTTTTTTCAGCATCTATTAATGTCAATCTAAAGTTTAATTCAAATAAAAATAACAACTTTAATGTAATAATTGATATAAAAGTAATGTTGTATTTTTGATATGTATGCAAAAAGTGCGTTTTACTTGCTTTGCTAGGTGAGAGGCGGCACCTGCCGAGTTTGTAAAACAGCTTGTTTTCTAGATCGAACCATTTACTTATTGCCCCAAAATTTCTGGATTTCTTTACAATTTTTTGCAGGAATTCAACTATTTCTAAATGCAATAGGGACCCAAATGGATGTGAAAAAACTTGCAAAAAGTGAATGTTGTACATTGGTCCCCTGTAGTTATAGTTTAGCCACTGTGGGACCTGTTAGTGTGCTATAAATCATTGTCCTGCTGCGTTACTCCATGATGTCTGAGATTACGGTCATAAACCGGTGCCTGTTGCTCTTTCGAGAGTCCTCAGGCAGAATTCATGGTTCAATCTGAGCCATCCAGGTCCTGAAGGCACACTAACACCATCATTAATCACTGTTGACATGATCGTCTCTTTCAGAAATACATTAAGATTAAAAAAGCTTTTTTTCTTTTATCTTATAATTCCACAGAACATTTTCCAAAAAGTCGTACAGGTGAATATGACATTGGCCTTTTGGTTCAGTAGTTCTGGCGTTTGCTCTCTCCCATGGATCCTGTTTAGCCTCTCTAGTATTCTTACCTAAATTGCAGCCAGAGAGGTAATTTCTGAGGAATTGGTTTTATTTGGTATCTTCCTGAAAAAGTTCCCCACTCCTGAATGTAGGACTGAAACAATTAACCGGATTAATTGTCTGTTAATCAATTATTAAAATAATCGTAAACTGGAGTATAGAGACTTGAAAACATTGATTTAGCTGACAGAGCAACCCACTTAGAGCAGAAACTATAACAACATTGCGAAAAATTATACAAATATTTTTTTTATTTATGATTTAAAACACTTTTAATCTGCCAGTATGCCCTATTGAGGAAAAAGTTTTAGTTTTACTTGGTTTTGATTCTGTAAAAAAATCTTAAGGAACCTTTTGCTATCTGATTATTATTTGATTAATTGAGAAAATAATGGACAGATTAACTGAATAGTAAAATATCATAATTTGCAGCACTAGCTGCACGCTGTCTCCATCTGTGTGGACGGGTATCTCTCACAGTAGAGCGTTAGAGTACCAGTGCCAGTGTTTCTTTGAACCCATTCTGGATTGATAGATGTCAATGGATTTTATTTCTCATGTGTTCTTAGATTTCCTTATAATGATGTGTTTCTGTCTAAGATTTAACAATGCTCGTCTGGCTGTAATCAGGCCGTGGTGTGGCTTGTAAAAATGAAGTCAGCAATCCAAAGTATGTAACTAAACAGAGTTTACGATTTAGAAAGTGAGGCAGCTACTACACAGGACCAGTTTGGAAAGTATTTTCCCATCATGAATTATATTTGTTTTTAGCTTAGGTTTTAAAAGATAATTTCTACGATTTAAAAATAATTACATTTGAAAGGAAGCAGAAATGCTAAAAGGAAAAACTACTTTTTACAGTACTGCAAAATGTAATGACAGCCTCCAGTCTAGGCACCAATGTTATTATATTTGTTCCCAAAACACTAAACTAATAACACCAATAATAACTTCCACACTAAACGGATCAAACCTCCTCGCTTTCCTCTACAATCATAGAAACCCTCAATAGAGCCAAAGAAAGAGAAAAAAAATCCTGTGAGAACATCTTAGTACTATTTTAAATCTTTGCTGCGAGGCAGAGGAGGGAACAAGTTCAGACTTACTTTCTAAAAACTCGATATGCATGTCATCTCTGTTGACGGAGACGGCGTTAAAGCCCTGGGTTGGCTCCACCTCCTGCCCTAGACTGCTGCCAGAAAAACAGTGCAGCAGGCTAGTTTTCCCCGCTCCATCCAGACCCAGAACCAGAACCAGGGTTTTCTCTGACTCCAGAGGACTGGGCTGGAAAACACAACACAGCTGTAAGAAACACTTAGAATGGAAAATATTAACCATAAATTACACGTGACTGAGTAAACTGTGATCTTGTAAAAGTGGGGAGAGAAACAGGAATAAAAACTGAGCTGAATAATGCAAATTTTTTAGCACTGTGGTTTAATTTTTGGATATTGAACAAAAAAATGAAAAAAAAAACAACAACTGATCAATCAAAAGACTTTTAGACGACTGGTATGTCATACAGCCACCTCAGTCTGGGTATAATTTTGGATTTTCATCCTAATCCTCTCTCCAATATACCCACCATCATATCAAATAGTTACTCTCCACCAAGGAAGTTATGTTTTAGGAGAGTTATTGTGTTTGTCTGTCTGTGTACAGGATAACTTGAAAAGTTAGGAACGAGTTTTAATGACATTTTTACCAAAATGTCATCCACACCTTGCACCTCAGTCCAAGGAACAATCCATTCATTTTTTGTGATGATCCAGATCCACATCTGGATCCACATTCTTTGAAAACCGTTTTTAAGCTAAGGTGCAAATCACAATATGTTGGGGGAAATGAGCAACTAGGAGGAGGCCTGCACCCTCTCAGTTCTTTTATCAGTTTGGTAATATTAGTATGAAGCTTAATCCGCAGTTTTCAGCTCCAGCCAACATGAATTATGATCACAGGCATCAGATGGAAAAAAATAATATTTACAATTGCTATTAAAATATATAGCATGTCTATAGCTGTTAATGAGACTGATTCATTTGCACCCCTGGTGCTATGTTATTAAAAAGGTTGCATTTAATTAACTCAAATAGACAAAGAACTTTACAGTGTGTTTTAGTAATTAATCACAAACTAAACAAAGAAAGCAGAAAAGGGGAATGAGGGAAAGAAAAGAGATGGTTTTATACAATAAGATCAAAAAGACAGAAGAGATGTTAACTGGAGGAAGGAGAAACAAGTTAAAAAGATGAATTTTAAGACTTGGATTTAGAGATGAAGGGCTTAAATCCATACTATTCATATAATATGAATAGTATAGATTTAATATATAGACTTTATATACATATATAGACTTTATATACATATGTTAAAATGGTAAATACTTTGTGTAGAACTTTCCTATGCTTTGTTTTATTCATTCAACTACACAAGGACATTTATACATTTATAATACATTATGAGATCACACATTACCAAATTCAAAACAGTGGCATCTTAGCTTCTTTTTAAGAGGCGGAACTGGGTTTAAACAAGCCAAATTAATCTTAAACTGAGCAGTTATCCCTAGTTTGATCATTTCCTACATTTCCCAGAATGCAACGCACATTATCTGCCAAAGGACGTGCCACAACGAGTTAAATGTTGTTACAAATGTTTAAATAAAAAGTAATTTGAGATTATTAGGAGCGTTTTTGCACAATTGATATATCACTAGGTGATCTAATGTGAATATCTGCTACTTTTCACAGCAATAATCACTTTTACCGTTTCTGTTTTCGGAGCCGCGGTGGGAACAACAGCTTCTTCTACCGGAGCGTTTCTTTCCCTCTCCACCTCCTCCTCCTCCTTCGTGCTGCTTTTATCATCCTCTCCGTGTTGTGTTTCTGTTTTCTTCTGCTTGGAGGATGAAGCGCGGTTCCAGAGGAGATAAGCGACTCCGCCGCCAATAACTGCCGACGCACTCAGGACCGCTGCCCTCAAACCGACCATGGTGCTCAGACTGCGGGCTTAGCTGCTACATGCGCACCGGTTACACTGTGATTCAGACATAATCAGAGTTTTAACGAAACACGACGCTCTTCTATGCTACTCAATGCGACATTTCCCTCAACAAGTGGATTAAGTCACAGGAAGCTCCGGAGGAACTTCTCCATGCTACATATCCGGATGAAGTTCGCTTCTGGGGGGGTTCGGCAAGATGGCGGATTGAGCAGTCGCTTGCTTCGGAGCTCATTTAATTTAGTCCCAAATTTGAGTTTTGAAGTTGCTGAAAGTCCACTGTGAAACGACGTTATGGATGCACAAAGGCTAATTAAACCAGCCAAACTCATAAAGGGCCCTAAACAGAAGGATACTCCTTGGGAAGTTGGAAAGAAAGACGAAGTCCATGTTATGGAGCACGACTATGCTGGGGACACCGCTAATCTAACTAAGAGGGACCGCGCGGTCGACTCCGTACCAACCACGCCAGTTAAAAACCCTGCTGGGAAAAAGCCCAAGTCTGCGGATGGAGGTGAGAGTGCAGAAGTCTCCAACAACGCTATATTACAAGCAATACTGGGCCTTGAAAAACGTGTGGATAGTCAGCTAGCCGAGTTGAAGGAGCAGACCAAACAAAGTAGCGTCATGATTGCCAGCCTAGCTAAAGCCGTCCAGTTCAACGCGGAGGAGGTAAAAGACTGCAAAAAGAAAGTTGAAGATTTAGAGAAACAAAATGAACAGCTCTGTAAAGATATCAGTGAGCTCAAAGTCAGAGTGAGGGATCATGAGAGAGACAGGATGAGATGGTGTTTGCAGATTAAAGGTTTAGAAGAAAAAAAAAAGATGAAAATATCCGAGAGCAAGTCATTGAAATCCTACGGGAAATCGCACCTGATGTGGAGTCGAAGGTGGAGGATGCAGTCGACATTGTTCATAGGATGGGGAGAAAGATGGATAACAAGACCAGGCATGTCATCATTTTGTTTGCTAAGAGATGGATGAAAGAAGAAATCTGGCGCCGGACCCCGCGGCGGGAACAACAGCTTCTTCTACCGGAGCGTTTCTTTCCCTCTCCACCTCTTCCTCCTCCTTCGTGCTGCTTTTATCATCATCTCCGTGTTGTGTTTCTGTTTTCTTCTGCTTGGAGGATGAAGCGCGGTTCCAGAGGAGATAAGCGACTCCGCCGCCAATAACTGCCGACGCACTCAGGACCGCTGCCCTCAAACCGACCATGGTGCTCAGACTGCGGGCTTAGCTGCTACATGCGCACCGGTTACACTGTGATTCAGACATAATCAGAGTTTTAACGAAACACGACGCTCTTCTATGCTACTCAATGCGACATTTCCCTCAACAAGTGGATTAAGTCACAGGAAGCTCCGGAGGAACTACTCCATGCTACATATCCGGATGAAGTTCGCTTCTTCAGGCATGTCATAATTTTGTTTGCTAAGAGATGGATGAAAGAAGAAATCTGGCGCCGGACCAAGAGCTCACAAGTCTGCAAGGATAAAGGTATTCGGTTTGCTGAGATGCTGCCACGGGAGGACTGGGAGGAGAGAAGACGCATGTGGCCACAAATTGAACAAGCGAGGCGTGCTGGAAAACTGGCTTTCTTTCGAGGTCCACATGGATACATTGAAGGGCGTCGGATTGGAAATGAAAGGTGATGGAGTTAAACATGACTGTGATGCAGTGGAAACCTTTGTAAAGGGACATTATAACCCTATTAAGGCTTAGCTTTCAATCACTTTCTAAGTGAGCAGAGTTAACTTGGGTTACATTTACCGTTTGGTTTGCATTTGTTGTGTGTTTTTGTTTAGTGTTCATGGAAAATGTTGACATTTCTTTTGGTTCATTGAATGTTCGGGGCCTGGAAAATATTGTGAAAAGGAAAGCACTTTTTTTATTTTGTAAAGGGCAAAGATCTCAGTGTCTATTTCTGCAAGAGACTCATTCTGTTGAGGTGGATGAAGCCTTTTGGTCTAATCAATGGGGAGATAAAATTTTATTTAGTCATGGCTCCTACCGATCGGGAGGCGTAGCAATATGTTTTAACAAATGCCCTGGTGAAATCATAACTCATAGAGCTGATGGTGAAGGTCACTGGCTGAGTGTGGTACTGAAATTTGAAAGTTTGTTTCTAATTATAACCAATATTTATGGGTATAATAATGAGGGACAAAATAAAAAACTGTTGGAAAAAATAGCAAATGTGATATCAGAACTTAAAATGTTGTACCCCACAAACCATGTTTTAGTTGGAGGAGATTGGAACATGGCCCCGAATGAATGGGTGGATAGGATGCCTCCAAGATTAAGTAAACCACAATATAATGACATTGTTGAAAGTTTTTTGACAAATAATAATTTAATGGATGTATGGAGATGTCTCAACCCAGATGCTGAAAACTATTCATGGTTTAAGCCCAACGGGAGCAACAAATCCAGAATTGATTATTGGGTGGTGAGTGATGACATCTTAAATATTACCTTGCATACTAGAATCTCTAAAGCACCCCTATCGGACCATTGTTTCATAGATTTAGTTTTAGGACCCACAAACAGGGAAATTAGAAATAAAGGATATTGGAAATTTAATGCCAGTCTGCTACAAAAAGAAGATTTTTGTAAGAAGATTAGAGATTTGATTAAAGAAAATGAAAATAATGACACATTCAGGAACAATATGAGCAGATGGGAATTTACTAAATACAAGATAAGACAGTCCACTATTAAATTTAGTAAAGAACTTGGCAGAAAAAGTAAGGAATATGAAAGTAACCTACTTCGAGAAATTAATATGTGCGGTAGTAAAGCAGAACCAAACTCTCAAGAGAAGAATAAAATAATGGAGTTACAGACTAAACTAGACGATATTTATCTTGGGAAGGCTCAGGGAGCCTTCCCAAGATAAAGAGCTAAATGGATGGAAGCGGGTGAAAAACATTCCTCATATTTTAGCAATTTGGGAAAAAACAGACAACAGAAAAACTCAATCACAAGTTTAATAATTGATGGAATGGAAAACAAAGATGTTAGAATCTTAGAAAAAGAGTTTTCATTCTTTCAACTTTTCATTCTATTCTAAATTGTATTCTTCTAATTATTCTGCTGTTGATGCCGACATCTTGATTAATAAGATTGAAAATATACCTTGTATTGAAGACTCCTTTAAAGATTAATGCGAGTCTGATTTTACAATTGAAGAATTTGACTTGGTTATCTCTAAAATGGCCCTAAACAAATCCCCAGGCACAGATGGGCTTACTACAAATTTTTATAAATTTTTCTGGAAAGAAGTAAGAGGTTTGCTATTTAAAGCTTTAATGGAATGTATAGAAGAAAAGGAATTAATGTCAACCATGAAACAGGGATTAATTACATTGATTCCTAAACCTGGGAAAGACAAAAGGATACTGGATAACCTTAGACCAATCACTCTACTTAATACAGATTATAACATTCTTTCAGGAGCGATCGCTGCTAGACTGAAAGAAGGCATCTCTTCTATAATTAGTGAGACACAATCTGGCTTTCTGAAAGGAAGGTCAATTCATAATAATATTAGACTTGTATTAGATCTGCTTGATTATAGTGACATGGTTCAAGAATATGGGTTTATTTTATTTCTTGATTTTTATAAAGCATTTGATTCTGTTGAACACCCTTTCATTTTAAAAACTTTAGATCATTTTGGTTTTGGAAGAAAATGTATAGATATAATTGGAATGTTATATAATGGGATTAATAGCTCAGTAGCTTTAGGTCATGGCACCTGCTCTAGATTTGAGATTAGGAGGGGAATTCGTCAGGGCTGCAGCACATCACCATTATTGTTTATAATGGTTGCTGAAATTTTATCTATCCTAATCAAAACCAGCAACATTGAAGGGTTGAAAGTTATGGACAGACAAATTATAATAAGTCAGCTAGCAGATGACACAACTTTATTCCTAAAAAATGAAGATCAAATTCCCTTAGCATTACATTATATTAATCAATTCTCAAAAGCTTCTGGTCTGCAGATAAATTTGAATAAATGTGAAATCTTGACATTACATGATTATCATCTACATTCCCTATATAACATAAAGGTAAAAAAAGAAGTAAAATATTTGGGGATTATTATCTCTAAAGATAAAAATGCAATTGAAAATATGAATGTTTGCAACAATGTGGACAATTGTAAATCAATCTTAAATAGATGGCTCCAGAGAGATATCTCAATATTTGGAAGAATTCTGTTATCAAAAATGGATAGTCTGTCTAGACTAATTTACCCTGCCTTTTCCCTACCCATTTCAGCTAGGACAATTAAAAAGATAAATACTGTTAATTTCAAGTTCATATGGAGGAACAGATGTCAATATATAAGAAAGATAGATATGATAAAAAGTTATGAAGATGGTGGGTTGAATGCGATTGATTTTGATATTATGAATGGCGTTTTGAAACTGAAGTGGTTAAAATCTTACCTTGCAGATAGAAATTCTTTTTGGTTCATTGTCCCCAATATGATTTTAAAAAAAATGGGTGGTGTAGACTTTCTTTTGCGATGTGACTTTGAATGTAGCTCATTACCTGTCAAACTGTCTGCCTTCCATCAGCAAGTCCTCCTCTATTGGAAGTTACTTTTTTGTCATAACTTCACACCACACAATACACCAGTTTGGAATAACAGGTACATATTGCTCAATAAAAAATCTGTTTATTTAGAGGAATGGAGATCCAAAGGTGTATGGGCTGTTGCACATTTTATGGATGACTCTGGAAACTTGTTACAACATGAGGACTTCTGTGAAAAATTCCAACTTCACTTTAATGTTAAATATTATAAGAGAGTTTTAAAAGCCATACCAATTTCTGTGATATCGATGGTTAGAGAAGATACTCGATACTCTGCAGTCTCCCCTGAACTGAGACAGCTTTACATTGATGGATCAAACTTCTGTGATTTCAAATGCACCAATAAGGTTATTAGGAATGCTTTAATAAAAGAATATTATCCTAACCCAGTTAAAAGAATGTACATACTGAAGGAGTTTGAAATAGAAAACATTAAGAAAAAAAACTGTTACATTTCCTCTCCCACCTAAAGTGAAAGAGGTCAACTTCAAAATTTTGAATGAAATCTACCCAGTGAACGAATATCTGAGATTAAGATTTAATATTGATCGGAATAACTGCGTTTTTTGTGAAGAGAATGTGGAAACTTCAGAACATCTCTTTTTTTTTATTGTAATGCTGTACAGCTCTTTTGGAAAGAGATGCAAAGTTGGCTACTATCCAAAGAAATTATATTGCCTTTGTCTGTGAAGTCTATTTTGTTTGGTGTTTTTGTTGAAAATAAGAATGTAGACTTCATACTCAACACCGTTTTGTTATTTGGAAAGTTCTTCATTCACAAGTGCAGATATTTTAAGACCAAACCTTGTATGACTCATTGGAGAAATGAGCTGAATCTTTTCAGTAAATCTCTTAGACTTGTTGAAGAAAAGAAAGCCCTTAAATTATTTTCTTTACTCGAAGCATTTAATTTAATTTGAGATGGCCCCTGAAATTTATGTTTTTATTTTCATCTTATTTTAGTTTACAATCCTGTTGGATTAGTTTCATACTGTTGTTTATGTTGAACATGCTCAATCCATGTAAAAACAAAAAAAAATCATAAGTGTGAATTTATTGTATGCCTTGTATGTTTATATTTACATTCATAAAAAAAAAAAAAGTTCGCTTCTGTATCGATGCAGTTTGAGTAAATGGCCGCTAGGTGGAGTCAGTGCGATAGAAAGCAGTGTACAGATGAACGACGCTGTTAAAAAAGAAACCAGTAGGGGGAGCTGTTTATGTAAAGTATAAATGTAGCTAGAAAGCTGAAGCAGTGCTTTACTTTGGTCCTCAAAACTCACCTGAATACGCTGCTGACCTTTATGGAGATCCATTCCTGCTATAATTAAAAAGAAATAAATGCTCCAAAAATAAGCATACAATTGACATTTAAAAATTAATTACAAAGGCGAACAAATAATGAAACTAAAGATATATACATTTTCTCACTGTATAATCTACATGTGTTTATTGTATTTTTGGGCAATTAAGTGTGCTTATTTTTGGAGAATTTATTTCTGTATTTTTAATTATGCAGGATTGGTCCTCTGTAGGATTTAAACTAAAGGGAATATTCACATTTAATATGGCATTTCTTACAGGTTACATTTCACTGCGAGCAAATGTTCCTAAATTATAAGTGCTATGCATTATAATTTGGAGCCATATTACTTTAAGTTCCCTTTAAATTGATCTGATAAATTAATGTTCTACATGCATTAAAAGCATAGAGCCAAATTAGAAAACTGAATCTGTAAATAAGGATATTTACAACTTTACTCTTTCGTTTTACACAGATTCTCACCATCTTGACATATCAGGTTTTTTTTTTTTTTTTTTTTTTTTTTTTTATCTCCTTTTCAAATATCCCTGGGTCTTTGTCAGATTTTTCCCCAATTCAGTTCATGTCTTCACGGGAGTTCAAAAATTACTCTAGAAAGGTGCATATAAAAATAAATAAGTGACAGAGTGATCAAAATTCCCATGGACAGATTGAGTTGGGTTCTAATACATATATTCTGGAAATACTGTTTTCCCCCAGACTTGGACTGTGGTCTAAACAATCTCAGCTGCCTAGAAATTGGAAAAAAATACAAAATACACAAAGGATAAGTTTAACCCTGAAATATATATTTTAATTTTTTGGTTTTTAAAAACCACTTTCTACTCAGAGGAAGAAAAAAAAAACCCAGAGACAGACTGCATTCAGATTTTAATCAACTCTTATATTACTGACAAAAAAAAGAAAAAAAGTACTTCAACTTCAAACATCCAAGTGAAAATCATTAGGACACTTTATAACAAAAGCACAGTTCAGGTTTACCCTGCCTCCTTCTTCACTTTGTATTCCGCATATTGATGCTGGCTATGCCGCCGCAGTTGAGTTTCATCCAGGAACTCGGGGGTGCTCAACAGCCAGGCCAGAGTTTTTCTGCCATCCTTCTTTCCCAGGTTTTTCCATGTCCTGGCTCGCAAAGAGTCTTGCTTCTTGGTGCTGGAAGGCTGCTGGGACTGCTCCCCACCAGAGCTGGAGTGCTCCACCTTCTCCACCTCTCTGTGCCTCCTGGACTTAGAGGCCTTCTTGACATTACTGTAGCTCTTCTGCTTGATGGAAGACAGGAGCCTGGCTCTGCTGCTGCAGGCATCTCCAGGAGACTCCTTGATTTCATCTCTGGCATTTTCCTCTTTGGGTAAATCTTTCTGCTGCCATGCGATGAACTCAGACATGCATTTGTTTAAGCGGGAAGTGAAGTCTGAGTGAATTGTGTTGACTTCAACGGTGACCTCCATGGTGGCCATCTTAAGTTTCTCATATTGGCTCTGGATTTCCACCATCTCTTCCAGGAATTCTGTGGATTGAAGCTCCTGCAGGGCGGCCGGCTTGCTCAGGAACTCAATTAACAGACTCTGCTTTGGTTTCTGCTGCTTCTGGAAGAGGAGGAAATGAGGCATGGCCGTGTAGTGGAAAGCTTGGCTGACAGCAAGCTTGTGATAGATGTAAACCACATCATGGTGCAGCGCCTCTTTAGACTCATGGAGGAAGCTCTGAACATGAGCCCAGTCCTTCAGAGCCACTCTGATCTTCAGGGGCGTGCAGGCGCGCTGGGTGTGGTAGAAAGCGAACATCAGATACAAACCTCCCACTCTGATCTGGTAGCTGAACGGAGGTAAGAAGTACTTCACCGCTGTGGCCAGAGCCACATGGCAGAGTCGCTTCATTTCACAGCCACTGGTGATGCCGTTGAAGATGTCCGGAAACTTCATGTCCCTCCAGATGGCAGAGAAGACCTCATACCTGACGGAGTCTGTTCGCTGGAAGCGAGACAACAGTTCCTCCACGTCTTCAGTCAGAGGCTCAAAGAAGAAATCCGTGTAAAAAGAATCTTGGTACGGCATTGTGTCTACAGAAACCCCAAGGAGACACAAAGCTCTTCTCCTCTCCTGCTGTCGGCCTTAATAAGCTGAGAACAGGTGTGTCTTGTTAGTGACCAATTAGCACAGGCATGTCACATGCCTCAATTATCGAGTAACATCGCCACCTGCGGTCGGATTATGTGCATTCCATTTCAGACTCTATGGCAGGCCGTATTGATATTTATTAGCTTTGTGTATTTCTGTCATCTCAAACTTTCTATTTAAATATTTCATATATCTTTAATTCTCACGACCACAAATGACTTAATTTCCCCCATTCATGTTTATTGGGCTTTTACCGACTTTGTCTGAAATAAACATCCCGAATGTCTAAAACTGAATTCAGACGAGGATGAAGTTTAAAGTGTAATTGTCCTTTATTTAAGCAGGTAAATGAAATGATCTACCAATCGAATTAGTAATTTTGTTCTTAAAATAAGATTATGCCCTTGAAATAACAGTTTTAAAAAAACATATAAATCATATTCTAAGCGGACATCGTTTTAACTGCTCAAGCAGAAAACTATTAAGGGAAAATTTTAATAAAATTTAACATCATACAAATTTAGTAAATGAAAAGACTACACTGCTCCAGTCATATCAAGATAAAATACTGTTTTTAGATTAAGAACAATCCAAATGCACTCTGACAGCTCTCTGTTTGCTTCCATTTAATTAAAAAATATTTTTTACATACATAAGATGATTACTTTCTATTCTGACAGAATTGTCCTAATTGGAAAAAAAAAAAAACTGCTCAGGAAAACACAACTTATATTTCAATTTTTAAACTGTGGAAATATCTTAGTCTGCATCTTTGTGTTTGAGCGTATTAAAAAAAAAAAAATAAATAAATTACCTGGGTTTAAAAATCACTGAGGAAGCAAAGCCTGGCTTGACCAAAGTTACCTGATGGCGTTGGATTTTAAAGTTGTAGGATGCTTGTTTGCCAACAGAATAGAAAAAAAAAAAGTTAAATCCAACAAAAAAAGTAAAAAAAAAAAAAACTATATATCTGACAGGAAACAGGGCAGATTCATCTTTGAGATTTATTTATACTTAAAATGGGTAACCTGTGGCCAAAATAGTTTTGACAATTTTTATCCAGAATGACACTTCTTTTAAAACCAAAGCATGCTTCCCTGCAGCAGATTGATATGAAGATACATTAAGAAGAACCGAGGCGAGTGTTGATGATCAATTACCCTGGAATAAAAACTGCAGCTTATTGAGGGAAAATAAAGCAAGATTCTCTGAGTACCTGGACTGTGTCGGTCTGAAAAGGGATGTTATGAAGAGCCATAAAAAAACAGGTTCTAAACAGGTAACATGAGTAAAAAAACTTGATTTTAATGTGATTGATGGTTAAAGCCCATTTTAATTTATTTTCCTCAAGCTGTAAAATACAGAACAACTCTCATACAGGGTTAGAAAAATACACCTTTCACCATTTATTGCACATTTAATGCAAATATATAGTTCAGCTGTGTTTGACGTACTCTGGTTCTGAGATAAATGAAAACATAAACACTGTTTCCAAAAAAATAAAAATAAAAAGAAATAAATCCGACTGAGCGTCCTTCAGTTGTTGAATGTGATTTCATTAAAATAAGAGACAGCTGCAGGACAGCAGACAGTAGGCTTTTGTTCATCTGGATACACGACCAGAAGAGGGGAAATAATACAAACATTGAAATGAACCCTCCTGTCATCTCCGCTGCTTCAAAGCTGGTCTACCAGCTTCCTTTGCCTCCCTTCTTCTTCTTCTGTGGTGCCTTTTTGCGTGTAGCCCCTGATGATGAAGGTTTCTGCTGTCGTGGAGGGACCACGCCGCTGCCGCTGGGGGCCGCCGATGAGCCGGACGCAGAGCCTGGTCTTGGGGATGTTGGCGGGCTGCTGGCTGTTTTACTGGCATCCCTGAAAAAGACGACAGCAACGCTTTGGTTCGATCAGAACAGCTGATTACACTGAGGTTTTAAACCAGCAGAGGATCATCGGGGGAGGACAAACACAAAGGTTGGAACCTAGGAATCAAAATTCTCCTGCACTATTTTGGGGTTCATTTTTAATAAGGAGTGGACAATCAATCTTTTTTCTCTTAGCCTTTTTTTTGCATTTAATGTATCAGAATGTACATGTATGTACTTTTATGTACTTTTATCATAGCATCCATCTTCTTTTGGACAGTAATGCTTTCAAAGTTGCTTCTTAAAAACAGTGTGTGAAATGCAACTGCTTTTTAAGAAGTTCTACAGGTTTTATGGCGTGTAAAAACCCTTCTTGTCTATTTTGAGTTTCCTCAGTAGAGGAAACGGGCCTTTGAGGTTCCATAATGAAGGTGATGATCTCAGGTGGGTTCACTCACAGCTCGGCTGAAGCTCCTGCAGTCGCTCCCTGCGTGCCTTTTCCTATTTGCTCCTTCTTCTTTCCCTTCTTCTTGCCTCTGTAATAGGAGCGTTCCCTCATTGGAAGCCACCTCTCAGGGTCCGGCGTCGCTTTGGGGTCGTAGTTCTTCGGCAGTTTGCCTAAAGATGAAGATGATTTTAGGTGAGCAACATCGAGAGGAACATGAACGTCTAGGACGGGCTGCTAACAGAATGTCGACATACCTTTCTTTTTCTTCTTCTTCTTTTTGATCTCACCTTGGCTGCAGCAAAATACAACTTTATGAACTAATCAGTATTTAAGTTTTCCAGTTAAATATTAGGATATATGTTTGAGAACTTACCCTGACTCCTTGGGGATGTTTTCTCCGACCACTTTACCAGCTTTTTTCCTGATATAAGTGGCACCGTGAGAGTTCTCCAGCTCGTCCACGTCAACGTTGAAAGACATGGCGTCTGCAGACGGCAGGTGCTTGCTGAGACTGGAGAAAAACGCTAAGGACTCTGAACAGATTTGTGAGGCACTGCTCTTCTACTGAAGCTCAGAAATACTGAACCAGAGATAATTGCTGGAAAATACAACTTGTAACATGATTGTTTTTCTTCTTTGGCGAAACCTCTGCTAGAGGTTTCTGCCTGATAAAAGGGAGTTTTCCTCTCCACTGTCGCTACAAGCATGCTTGGTGAGAGGGATTGCCTTTGAGTCAATGATGCAATCGACTGGTTTTCCTTAGATGGTCAACTTTGAATCAATATGACTGTATGATCTGGTTGTAAAGTGCCTTGAGAGGACGTGTTGTGAACTGGCGCTATAAAAATAAACTTGATTGAATTGAATTCGTAAGAATAACAAATTATTATGGCAAGCAAGAAAAAACAACAAATCTTTATTTATTTGCAGCTTTAAGGGGAAAGTAGAACTGAGACCAGTAAGTTCCATGTCAAAGGATACGATTTGGCTTTATCCGTGTTCACCAGAGAATAAGCGGAGATCAGTTGAGCCAGTGTGTGAACATCGTTAGTGTTTTGTCTGTTAAAAAGCACAGAATAGAAGCCCTGTTTACTGCAAATAAAACAACAGATTGGAATCTAAATATTATCTTGGTTGTAATGCACAAAACAGATCATTAACACTTATATTACAGAAGTACTTTTAATTGTCAAGCTAAAAAAAACAACCCTAGTGTTTCTGCAGGGACTCACTTCCACAGCTGCTCCAGATCACTGATGGCTTCTTTTTTCCGTCCGTGCTTCAGTTTGAAGTTTGCAGCTTCGCGTACCAGAGCCAAATGTGCAGCAGATCCAGGCTGTGAAGGAAACAAAAAAATAAAAAAACATAAAAATGACTGCAAACCAAGACACCCTGAACTCAAACATCATCCCAGCAGTAACCATCTATAGTCTGTTATTAGCTGCACTGATAAAGCTGTAAAATAAACCCTCAAAAATGCCTATCCCACAGGAGCATAATCTAAAACACAAGGATCCACTTCACATAAGCCACTGCTCCCAGAATTATTGGTGCTTCTGTTGTTGTAACTCATTTAAATGCATTTTAATTATGTAAAGGGACAATTAATTTCATTGTGCACTTTGAATTGTAATATTTAAATCATGTATTAGATCGATAAATACATTTAAGACGCAAGCGGCGTTGGACGACCCTCGCAGCTCAGCCTATATCGCGACCACGTAAGCCAAGTTCCACACTTCACCACTTGACAAGCAGCGGAAAACCACAGCTTTGGCTAGGAAGGTTTAAAAATCTAAGCTATGGTTTGGTTTAAAATGGCCACCTTCCTGTGCGGCTTGGGCCATGGCTCTAAGAGACTTTTTTAGTAGGTCCTAGGGACTTATACATGTGTGCACAGTTTCATAATCCTCAGTGCAAGCATGGCTTGAGGCTGCTTGTTTTAGTGTTTCTAGGGGGCGCTGTAGATAAATTAAGCCATCCTCACAACATATTGGACTGGATTCCTGTGTGGGGTCGGACTAAGATCATTCCAAGAGATTTCCGTGCAGATCAGAATTTTAACGAGGAAATAAGAGCCAAATGTATGGTAATGGTGAAACACATCACTTTGCCATGACCATATGGCAAAACCATTTAACTAAAACTCTTTGCCTCAAAATAAGTTAGAACAACACCTTTTCTGTCAGCTGACACAGTTTTAAGTTGATTAGGTTAAGCAGAACAGAGAGGGACCAGGAGTGAAAATTGTGACTTCCTGTTCTGAGGGGGCGGGGCTTATTTCATACTACATTTAATTTTGGGGAATTCATATTTATCCATTTTCTTACCACAAATTTTGGCCCCCTATATTCATTAGGGATCACATTTCAATGATTGTGGATCAGTCGTCTGAAACCCCTGCATTATATAATTTTTTAATCCAGTAAGACAGAGCTTTCGTTCCTCTGAATGTCTGTGACAATATCAGCTGTTTGATGGGATTTTTCTTTTAGTCACATCTAATAGGATGAGCTAAAGGCAGAAGTCGGAGGCCCCATTAAGGCTAAAAAGATTGCTAAAGGATAATAGAAAATAATGTGATATGAAATTGATAGAGAAACCAAACCTGTTCAGCTTGATAATACTCTATAGCTTGTTTGAAAACGTCGATGGCGCTGTCGATATCTTCCTCATGGGAATACATGGTTACCAGAGCTGAAACCTAAAACACACATTTTAAGTAAAACAACAAAAATCTACCAGATTACTTTACCATGAGATTTGATGTTCATAAAGAAAATTAAATGTTCATACCATTCCTGCTTTGTGCTTGAATTCTTCAATGGATCTGAGGACGTCACATGCTTTTGTAACGTGACCTGCAGAGGAAGTTTCACTATAAGCATCTACAGAGCTACACATTGAAATACCATAAAGCCAAACAATTATATTGCCCATAAATGTTGAAAAAAGATGGAAAGTTTTTCTGGATGTGTGAGAGTGGGTCAGTACCTTGAACTAAATACAGTTGTGCCATTGTCAGTTTGATGCCAGATGCACTCTCTGGGTTCTGCTCTGAGAATTGCTGCAAAAAAAATACAAAATTCCACATACATATAAAATTAAATTCAGTAAATTGCATTAAGTGCAATCAGACATTTATTTGGTTTCATGGGCTCTAATCTAATGACACAAACTGGGGCTTCCTGTGAGGAGTAGATTTCACTTTTGACTTTGAATAGATATTATTCTTAGTTTGTTGCTTTCAGTAATTCAGTTCAAAACGAGAAAATCCACTGATGTAGAGACTTGATTCTTAAAGTGATATTTAATGCTTTAATTCTGATTATAATATAATACATCACCAGGTTAATAATAAGTTACTATGAACACACACGTGTTTCAGTGGAGACTTCTATCCATTCAAACTTTAACCAGATTTACTCGTCTACCGCTACTTTGTTCTCCAACTCTGCAGATAATCTGGTAAAATCCCAGACTAGGGTTGTCAAAAGTATCGATACTCAAAAAAGTATTGATACTGAAACGTTGTATCCGAATAAAATACTCATTTTCAAAAGTATCGATACCGCCATCTAAAGTGCAGGATAGAGGAAAATGCACTTTCTGAACACTGTGTGATTGAATAATTCTGTGCATTTTTCAGTTTCAGACTTTTTTTTGTAACAGGTGCAGCTGCTGAGAATTATTTTTGTTTAACTGGTTGGGCTAGTGTCATTGTTATGTCTGCAAAACATAGCCAAGGAAGGAACACTTAATTTTCATTTTGTACGTTTTTTATTTAGCTTGCTTAATATTGTGCACAGCATACAATATATCAAAATATTACTCTTATTGTTTTTTATTTATTTCTTGTATTTTTTTTAGTAATGAAAATATTTCTGTTGAATTTCAGAGTCTTTGTTTTTATTCTTGTGGTATCGAAAAGGGTATCGAGTATCGAATATTTTACTTAGTATCAGTATCGAGTTGAAAAGTTTAGTATCGTGACAACCCTATCCCAGACTCACTGATTTAATCACTCCAAGTAAAGGTTATTATTAAGAAGAAAAAGTCTCAGTGGAGAAGTGCTCCACCAGTCAGGAGTCAAAAGTCTAGACTCCAGATTTACTTAAGATGTAACTTGCAAGAGAGCCTTAAAACTAAAAACATTAACAATGCTTGTTCCCATTTGTCAGTCGACAGTTTATCAAATCCTCTTGTTATTGTAGCGTCTGAACTCCACTCAACCCAGACCTGTGAGAAATATTCTAATTCCTTCACTGAAAAACAAACTAAACGATTAAAGGGGCAGTCTGTATATCCATATCGAGTCCTGTGCCAAAGTTATCTCCAACTAAAACTAATCTTGACAATATTTCTCAATTTCACAGAAAAAAAAAACTCGATTACAGTTGTTCTGTCAACTACAGAACAGGATTAAGGACTAATGTCTCAGAAGGAGCTTGAAAAACTAATTCCTACTTTTTTCATTTTTAGTAGAATTGATCACTACAAAGGTTTCTTTACAGGTCTGCCTAAGCAATTGATTAGTCAGCTGCAGCTGATCCAGCATACTGCTGCATGTGTCCTCACTAAAACTAATAATGTAGAGGACATCAGCCCAGTTTTAAAGTCCTTCCACTAGCTACCCGTATCTTAGAGAACAGACTTTAAAATACTTATGTTTGCTCTATAAATCACTGAATGGTTTAGCTCCAAAATACATTACAGCCTTTTTCAGAGGATCAACCACCCAAACCTCTCAGATCTTCTTGCTCAAGTTTCAGACCCAGAACAAAATCTGAAAAGGCAGCTTTAAATTCTTACCTTCCATTAATCTGAAATAAACTCCCCCCAAAAATACAAAAACTGAAAAAGTGCTGAAACCGTCAGCAGTTTTAAGATGAGATTAAAAACATTTGGTCAGAGCTGCTACTGACTGTGCCATCCAAACCTTAGTAGCTTAAATCTGTATTACAACTTTCCTTTCTTAGTTGCTTTTTTTATTATTATTCTTATTTAATAATTATTGAATGAGCTCACTGTCATAATTAATCACCTTGCAATGTTTTTCTTATGTGCAACACTTTGCTGTGAACGGTAATAAACACTTAAAATGTATCCCTCTGTGTGCTGAATCTTTAACATATACCCTTTTTTTTTAAATTGAATTATCAACCTAAATCCACTTTTTAAGCATATTAATATTTAACGAGAGAGAGCTGAAATAATAATCATGATTATTCATTTATTTGAAAAATCAACCAATTTGGTAATCAATTCAGTGTTAACATGCCTTTAGCTGACAGAGGAACCCACTTAGATCAGTAATTATATCAAAATTGTAAAAAGTAAAGTAAACATTTTGCATTAAAGATTAAAAAACGTTTTTGTCTGTCAATAAGCTCTATCCCAAACTCCTTAAGTGGAAAAGTTTTAGTTTTCCCTGGTTTATATTCATAAAAAAAATTTTATTTAAGGACCCTTTGGCTATACCATTATTAATCGATTAATTGAAAAAATAATAGCAAAGAACTCTATTGATCTCACAATTGGGAAATTCACTAATCGACAGATTAATCGATTTTTTAGATAATCGAATAATAATAAATAATCCAATAAAACCAATGCTTCAACATTTCACAGAAGTGAAGGATGTGACTCTGCAGCAGAGAGTGGGGTGGGTACCTGCAGGAGCTCCACAGCCTTGCTGTGCTGCTTCTCTCTGCACAGCTGAGCGGCCTGGATTAGGACTGGTCGAGGGTGACTTGGATTCTGAGACTGAAGGTTTGATGAGAGTTTCCTGCACTGGTCGGCCTGTTGAAATCCAGACATCGAGCCCTCATTAATACAGAAATATTAACTGTAAATGTAATAACATTAGAGCACACATACCTGGTTAGTGTACATGGCCAGTAGGGCTTTGTTGAACTCGATGGTCTGCAGCTGCTTCTTTGCCAGCTTGTATTCGACCCCTTCTGCATTTGTCAATTTCACCTTTTTCTTTGAGTCAAACACATTTTGGTCCTAGGACAACAGGAAGAGTGTAAACAGGCGTTTATGGTTGTTCTAAGGAGTAACATTTTCAGCCAGCTTTAACCCTACCTTATTGATTGTGATGATGTTGTTGGCCGTCACAGCCAGAAGCCCAACATCAGAAGGCCTGAAGTCATATCAGATCATCATGGATCAGCTACTTGACATTTTATCAAAATGCTCATCAGAAAGAAGTTTCGAAGACATGGTTTTGGGCAGTTTGCGCTGCTTGAACTCACTTGAGCTTGATGACCTGGTTGTAGAGCTGCAAAGCCTCATCTGTTCTGCCCTGTAGCTGCATGATGTACGCCATCTGAGAATGGATGACTGCCAGCTCCGACTCGATGTCTTCTTCAGTCACATCCTAAAACAGACAAATGATAGTTATCTAGTGGGAAAAATCTAATTTGAGAATCAGTAATAAGCAGTAGTGATTTCCTGACCAGCTTTCAGCATCAATGCACACATTTTCTGAAGATAAAGCCCAAGAAGCTGCAGCCTGCAGGGCTGTGCGTGTTAGTTGTGATATGACATACACTGTTTTAGCAACAAATACATATCTAAAAATTTATTTTATTGAAGTTTGGAAGATCGGGGATGATGAACCAGGTCTGGGAACCCTTTAAGGCTTTGTTTTAAAAAAACAACAGGAAAAGGACTGTGTGTAAGGAGCATACTAAACAGCAGGCTTTACAGCTACTGAAGGAGAGAATCTAATTTATAATTAGATCAAACTATCAGAATCAAGACTGATAAAAAAAAAAAGATTGGTTTAAAATTAGCAGAATTTAAATAATAAAAAACTAGTAAAAAAGTGTAAAAAAAAAAAAAAATCTATATTTATTCCCCTTAATTAACGATTAGCCTAATACGACCTTTAAGGAAAAAAAAAGAAAAAGAAAAAACTTTCCCAAAGTTCTCATTATTTTCTTATCAATTTCAAAGATTACATATTTACGGGAATAACTGACATGTTTAACTTTCCATCATGTGGGAAATTATTTCCATTGTGTTATTAGGATAAATATAAAACCAAAGACTTACAGAATCATCTGCCAATGAAACTCTGCAAAGCTCTGTAAAACAAAACAAAACATTTTCCCGTTAATGTCAAACTCTGCTGACTTAAGCTGTCTGAACAATTAAAAGACATGCAGACCTTCTGCTTGCTGTAGTTTGTTAAAGGCCTCCGTCAGCTGTCCTTGACCAATCAGAGCGCAGGCAGTGTTGTAACAGAGCTCATATGTCGTCTCAGGAAGTCCCAGATCCTCCTACAAAGAAAGAAGAACGACTGCAGATAAATTTAAGAAACAAAGAAAATATAATCACTGTAATGCTCAGAGGACAGCAGCAGTTTAAGGAGGTGGCCTTATGCTACGTTCAGACCGCACGAGCTAGAGGCAGAAGAAGCAGCTAGTTCACATGCATAGTCAATGGTTGATGCGCATCAAGGCGCGGCAAAAGGTCCAGAAGCAGCGCGTCGGTGCAGATGTGGCAGCGTGTTAAACATTACGAATCAAGAAGCTGCTGGAGTTGGAAAAGTGAACTTTTGCTGCTGGACGCGCCACATCAACCAATCTGAGAAGCTGATCTGAGAGCTGGCAGGGAGACAGACACAGCACTGCTGATGCAGGTAGCTATGATCATTCCTCTGAAACAGTTTATTCACACCTAAATTGACTTAAAAAGTCGAAACCTGCCGCCTAAATATGTTGGATTTTATTATTCTGTTGCCTAAAGTTTGGATTATGTACATAAAAAACGCCCTCCAGCTGCTGCAAACAGTAGCAGAAAACTGTAAAGTGACTAGGCCAGAGGCTGCTGTTGAAGGTAATTTCCAAGGACAGAGCACCGCCAGGCAGCTCCGACACTAAAAAACTATTTGAAGGCAGCATCGTAACCTTGATAAACTGACCGCACAGATTAAGTTTTCAGGTGGACTTTCTCACTTAAAATCGTATTAAAACTTAGCCTAGTGAACTAGCCCCACCCGCCAGTGGCCAAAATCATATTTGCCTGTGAGTTTTCTAGCCTCGATCAATGCCCCAGGCCCAAGAACTGGCGGGCCAATCACAATGTGTTTTGAATTTCTGGATGCAAACGGACAGAGTTTGGAGGGCGTGACGACAAAGCTGCACGACGCTGGAGAAAGCACAACAAGGAGGATGGCGACAACTATTGAACAGTAGCATGCACTGCGGCAGCAGCAGCTTTCAATGGAGCGCTCCATTGAAAGTTAAAAGTTCTCTTTTCTGTTGCTGTTGTTCAATAAAAATACGTTTTGATTATTTGAGGCAAGAATATTATACTTTAAAGCACTACTGTATGGTCCATTTACAGATTTAATGCGTATTTAAAAAAACTATTTCTGAAGTTGAGAGGACAGCGGCAACCAGCGGAGCTCCGAGGCTAACGGCAGCCAGGGATAACCGCAGCCCGTCTGCAGCGGCCCTCTCTTGGCATGGTCGTGTGTGAAGGACCGCTGGTTATGACGGCGATTTTTGACTCAGCTTTGGAAGGATAAGACTTGGGGTTTTTCTTTCAAACGTGAGCAGGAAGAGGCTCTATGCTCATTGATTTCTAAGGAAATATTTGCAGTTTTACCGACAGGCTGTTTGTTTACACTCCCTCACCAGCTTTCTGTCATGCTTACTACGTCACAGTCAGTTGCGCTCATTGGTCAGAGCGTTGACCAATAGGCACAGACATGGTTTGAAAAACAACGGGTTGCTCTCATCAACAATCTTCCAATGTCTCATTCATCGGTGCCAGACTAAATTACACATTTAATCTCGCATTTATTCTGGTTTATCAGGCTAATTAAAACTACTTTTTACCCACTTATAACAGTAAACATAGCAAAGCTGCTCTCTACCATTGAACACAGGAGCAGCAGAAGGATCAGACGCATCTGGACGCACTTTACTGGATGCGCTTCAGGAGCGTCAAAGATGCACTTGAAGCGCGTCTTAACTTAATGTGAACAAGCATAAAAAAATGAAGCAGCAGAAGCTTTTTTGTTGCTTCCAGCGCTTGTGGTCTGAACGTAGCATTAAAGGCACACTATGCAACATTTTTCAGTTAATTAATGTGTTCCATAACGTTATAGATGATTAAATGATTCATTTCAGGTTGAACAAAGGTATTCTCGGCCGCCCTGGTGGTCTGTGGGGGAAATACCGCACTTGCAATTGCAGGAGCACCGACCCGCACCCACAGGCTCAGAAGTCTCGTGAGAGTCAGTCTTGCTTTACGGCGAGAACTGCTAGACGCCCCCAGTTAAAAGCATGCTCGTTGCTAGCACAGTGGCGATCTTTGTGCAGTTATGCTACGTTCACATCGGACGCAGCAAAATCGCGTCTGCTGCTTCATTTTTGCTGCTTGTACCAGTTAGTTCTGACGCGCGGCTGAAGCAGCTTTGCTGTGTGTCTGACGCGCGTTGGGCGGAGCTTCACTATCCTTTCTCTGCCTTCCAGCTATATTTGCTGTGATCAGTGGGAATAAAGTAGTTTTAATATGTGTTTAAGTGAGAAAATACACCTGAAAACGTAATCAGTGCAGTCAGTTCATTCAGATTATTATCCTGCCTTCAATATTTTTTCTGTCGGAGCCGCTCAGACCCCCACATACCAGCGGTGCGCCGACAGTAGGGATCCCTTCATCAGCAGCCTCTGGCCTGGGCGCCTCCTCGCGGTTCACCACAGCAGCTGGTAGGTGTTTTTCATCTAAATAATCCAAACTGCATATTCTGCCGGCAGATTTCTGCATTTTAAGTTAATTTAGGCGTCAATAAACTGTTTAAGAGGAGTGATCATCAGCGCTGTCTCTCTCCCTGCGTCAGATGCTTAAACGCGCCCGATGCGCTGCTTCAGCTGCTCAGACGTGCTGCGCCTGCTGCTCAAAACGCGCCGCGGGACCTTTTGCTGCGCCTTGACGTTACGTTGCATGTAAACTCGCTGCTTCTGTCGCGCCAGCTGCGGTGTGAACGCAGCATTAGTCATTCGTTCCATTCGCCTGTCTGCTAAGCTCAAAACAACCGCGCCTGGCTTGACGGAGAAACCAGGAGAACAGCTGTGCATATTTACGACAGTGCACTTTTACTTTCGCCCTCTGGGGGGAGCCTCGCTGGAAAATCAACACCGGTTGCATAGTGTACCTTTAAGTACTTTCACCCCTGTTCATGGTTTGGTGCATTTTGGGGTGTAGAATATGATTCAAACCACTGATGAACATCTTGTTCCCGGGTTTTCTAAAATGACATAAAACAGGGAAGGAGATCCAAGAGATGGATCCAAAGGCTGACGTACTGCGGCAGAAAACATTTGTTTTTAGAAATACTTATACTTCCTAAACTGTAATTGTTTAAGTTCTTTTCATTCATATTTGATTGGTAGAGAGAATGGGTTTCAAAGGAAAACCTTGAAAGAAGAAATTAGAGGGGGTGGATGTATGAGGATTACCATCGGCGCCTTCTCCCACTGACTCATCGCAGCCACCACCGCAGCGAGGTTGGTCTTCCTCTCCTCCTCATACTCATCCTGGGAGTTCCTGATCAGATCTGTGTAAACCGTCTTGCACTCATCGTAGCGCTCCAGTCTATACAGCTACACAAGGAGAGGAGCTCAGATCAGCTGACATACTGACAGCATTTAAACAGGAAAAATTAAACCACACTTTACCAGTAACAGTCATTATGCTGGACATTAAGAACATATTCTATGTCTGCATTATGCCACCATTAAGATTAAGTTGAAACTTCTGCGAGTAATTATGTGGTATTATAATGATGCATAATGGACAACAACACAGACTGCATGAACACTGACTCTACAGAAGGAAAATAGCCTAAAAGAAGAGTCGAATCAGAAAAGAAGGGTAAACAAATAGAGAAAAGACATGCATTTGATGTGCAAGAGGAACAATCAGGGAAGATGGGGAAAAAAAACACTTGCTACACAGACCATAAAGAGGGACATAGAAGAACACAAGTGGCAGACAAAGCAAGTGGTCTTTGGTGTCACTTTTGCTCATGTGGGAAGTCATGAAGAGCTGGATAAGTCTAGAAAGGCAGCTAGTAAGACAGAGACTTCTGTCTTGCTCTCACAAATAGTAGGTCTTTTTTGAATAGCAGTAACAAAAAAAAAATGCTTGACAATAGACATGTGTCATTACATTACATTTATTGTACATAATGTCAACAACAACTTCAGAAACTTTCAGACTTTTAGGTATAACAGTTACAGAGATAGGAGACTTTTAACTTCTGGTGTCAGCAGCATCTCCAAACCTCTCCAAATGTGCCGTATTATTCAAAATTGGGCATAATGCTTTTACATAACAATTTTACCCAGAAAAATCACAGTAAAGCATTTTGATGGCCACAAAACATTTTTGACGTAATTATTTTTTTATTTTTCTAAAATTCCATCTAATTATCTAAAAGTGTGCAACGAGCCAGAATAGGGGGTTTTCAGTGACGTCACTGGCCAGCTTCCGGTCCGCAGTCTTGGGTGGCATATTATCGTATCATGTCGCGAATGGATAAGTACGCCAGCACGAAAGAGCCACCAGATCATGGAACATATCTGAGGAAATGTTCCGTGATCGACCATATGGACCCCTATGCCCTCCACGGTGCCTTGTTTAGCACTAATCCAGATGATTGGCCAAATGTAGAGCACGGTGACATAGTTCATTACCCGGTGTTCAGTGAAAACCCTCTGCACACTCTTGAGGAAATGAGAGCGTACAAGGGTCTAGAGGCGCACAACCAGTTCACATCTGGTTGGGTACGAGATGTCGAACTGATGTACATGAAGGAAATCGCCATCATACGTGGACGGGTGAGTTTTAATAAGATGGTAAAAATGTAAACAATCCGACGCAGGGCTCGCTATGCTAGGTGGCTAACGGCCGGCGGTGCACCAACAAGTCCTTGGAGTCTCATGTGCAGTTTATGAATGGATGGGTTCAGGAGCTGCAGCTCATAAAGCCAGCAAACAGTGCTAACCGTTAGTGCTAACAACCACTCAGGCATGTAATGTACTTTTAACTAGCTGCTATGTGTTTCAAAGGTTTGGTTAGTAACGTTAACTGCCAAACCTCCCTAAACCCTCCGGGTTTCTCACATATTTGAGCCTTTTCCCGCTGGTTGAAATCAAGTTAAGGTGAAATTAATCAAATTAAAACACGGCTGAGAGAGGGAGTCCAGTACGTGGTAGTCATAGGCAGTAGTCTGAGTAGCGGCGGCGGAGGCAGTCAACATTGCGGCCACGGAAAGTAATGCGTCATGACGCCCAAGCCCTATTATTAATATATTCTTACATGTTTTAAATGCTTGACAGTTAATTACCTGTGACAAAGTGAGCACTGCAGACTCTGGCGTGTTCCAGCTTAAAACCGTCCAAATCTGACCTGGATATCCGTGTCAGCCATAGGTGACGGCGTTGTTCAGATAGCTGTTTTGTTTTTTCACATTGATTCACGATTACGGCTGGTATGCGATAGAAAGAGCATTGATCTCCACCTCCACGGGCCGTGCAACCAACAATTACACACGATTTCACCATTTTTCACTGTCAATACTGCCTAAGGCTGCCACCCAATATGGCGGACGCGCTGAGTAGTCACGTGAGCGTGACGTCACCTGAAAACCCCCTATTGGATCTGCCTGTGTGCCGTTTATGTCCAGTGATATATCTGGGATGCACTATTCAAATTAGCCATGGTTACCTTTGTTTTATAGGTAATTTCATTGGTTAGAAAACCACACATTGCATGTGAACTTAACCAACAGCAGCGAGACTTTATGAGGAATAATATGACCGGTCCCATGCGTAAAGGTGACGTTTTCAATGTGCTCGTTATACTTTGTGGGCTGTCCCACATTTCTGATGGTAAAAAACTGACTTAATGTGGTGATTTTCTTGTTCTTATTACAAATATAAGAACAAGAAATATTACAAATATTTCTTTTTTTTTTCTTTTTTTGGGCTTCTTTAAAGGTTTTTTTTTTTTTTTTTACCCAGTTCTGGACCATTAAATAATGGAAGATGAATGAAGATGACAGCTTAGTCTCTTCAGTGAAATTGGTTAAAATCTGCATAGATGCATCCATTCCTTTTAAGTGTCAAAACAGGACAAATTAAAGGGGAACTTGACAAAAAGACAAAAGTAGAATGGCCTTACCACTTGACCATAAAGTTCCTTCAGCTTGTCTGTCTGCTCAGTGGCACTTTCAATGGTCTTCAGTGCACTTTCCACTCTGTTCAGCCGATACTCGCAGTACGCCTTCTCAAATACAACCTCACTACAAAAAACAAAAAAAAACAAAAACAAACATCTTTTAACCAGTTTTATGAAATTCTGACAACACTGGATACAAACAGTCAAAATCACATCTTGCTTATCAGCAGAAAGTTCCTTGTCATCCTGTGTATCTGGTACAGGTTCATCATTGTTCTTTAAAAGATGTAACAGAACTTATTTAGCAGTGTAACAGTCCTTTACCTCGCAAGGACTTTGGAGTGGGTGTTCATGACATTCAGTGCCTCCTTGAAGCTCCCGTTCTGGACGAGGCAAACGGTCTTACAGTGAAGAGCCGTCACATCGTCCCTGTTCTCATGGAGAACTATGGCAGAGAGAGGGAGGTAACACATTACTAAACAGTAATAAAAAAAAAAATCAGATTGATATGAGATCACTGAGGATGTGTGTGAACCATCGGTGGTTTGAGATGTCATTTTTCTTGCTGATTTAGAGTCTGATGTTAGTCTTTTTTTAAGTTCTATACTAGAGATTAAACTACACTGATAACCAATATTTATTCCAATCTTGTTGCGTGTGTGATTGGTGAGGAGGCTGGCTGATTGGTATCTATTCAGTCATGTGACAGATTTACCAAAGCATTGCAAGATTGATGTTAAAATGAAGCAGAGAAGAAACATCAGAAGTGTAAGGGGTTTTTCTTTGTTTTGTTTTTCCAGTAGAGAATAGTAGCCTGAATAACCAGACTGACTGAGGCCATTTACATGCCGCATCAATCTGGAAAGGCTCCCGATTTCAAAGGTGGGACCAGGGAGGAACTAGCAGTCATCAGAAACAGATTAGAGCCAATCAGATCGATACAAATGTCATGCAAAAAAGCCCTTTCTTTTCAATTAAAGCTCTTAGCAGCCAGTTGTTGAAATATCAAAGATAAATCCAGCTCATTCAGAAAAGCTTTATTCAAGCATTCCTCCTTTGTGGCTACAGGCTTAACTGCTACGGTTACAGAAATGTGCTGATGCGTTATGGGTAATTGCACAAGCGTTAACTCCCAGCTGTAATTGGTCCAGTCTGTTTTAAATTGATATGGGCACCAAGAATCGACCATCTGCTTAGCTAGTTGCACCTAGTTACTTACTTGCAGCTAGTTCCTAGCACTGATAAAACAGCTTGCAAGTATGGAGAGGAGCACTTCCTTTTTAACAGCAAAAATAACCTAATTTTGACCAGGGGTCCATTTCACAAAGCAGATTTAACAAACTCAGACTCAAATCCTCAACTCTAAATTGATCAAGCCTAAGGTTTGAAACTCTGAAATTTTGCTTTCACAAAGGCTGCTGTGAGTTAGTTTAATCAACTCCAAGTACGTCCACTCAAAGTTCAAAGGTTAGTGCTTTAACAAGCATGAAAAGCCATTATCAGCCGATCCCCAATTTGACGAAACACCATAATAACAGGTAACAGGAGATCAAAAAATGTGATTGGCTGTAAGGAGAGTGGAGACAGAGGATACACAGTTTACTAAACAAAACCTGCTCCAGACTAGGTTAGCTCTGGGAAGAATGTTACTATGGTGACTGAAACAGAGGTAAAGGACTCTCTTTGTGAAAAGGAAAACTCACTCGGTTTCCCTGATTTTAGCTTTTATTTAAAACTTAGTTTTCAGTAAACCTGCTTTGTGAAATGGACCCCAGGATTTTACACTAATCTCGGAAGGAGATGTTTGTCAAGTTCTCAGATTTAAGTCTGGCGCCCAGTTTTTTGGGGCTCAGACACCCTGAAAATGTAAATCACAACCCACCAAATGCTAACTTTTTTTCATTACTATATGCATGTACCTCAGTGCAAAACTTAATTTGCAAAAACTTATTTGCACTTCAACAGCTACAGAACTTTGAGTCTCCAAAATAAGGGTATTCATGGGCTTTAGCCATTTCAATGCAGCGGGGACCCCTTAATTATATATTGTAGAAAATTATTGTGTTATATCAAACTGGTCCTATAGTCACTCTATTACAGATGGATTAATGTAACAAAAGTTATTTCGACCCTGAGATTATTAAAGTATTTCTGATTCTGATTCCTGGTTAATGGGACAGGTGTTGTGAATAAAATGGTGCCCAGCTTGAAAGAGCTCCTGTGTGTCGCTGAATGTGTGCATTGATGACTGAAAGATCATCTGCCTCCATTTCTCTGTTTACTACAGTGTGTTGAATTCATGTTATTCCAAACTTCATTTGATGAAGGGTATTGAAGGTTAAAGTGACTTTTAAACAAGCACTAGATGCAAATAATGTCTTTGGCCAGTTGATTAAACTTTCCCTGCTTTTGAAATCCATTCTTCATAAAGTTTTGAGAGGCCCAAACATTTAAGATCACAGTAAGCTGTGCAGAAAACACAATGTATGGCAATAAACCCATAACGGTCATTAAAATAGCAAACAACAAAAACTATACTAAATACCTAAACGGTATTTTCTTAAAATAAAAAAAAATATTATTTCTTTGCATTTCCAACAATTATTTTCTAATACTTAAAATTTATTTCACTGTCATTTCATTGCTGCTACTCTTTTCTCAAATTATGTTGAGTAATACTGGTGTGTTAAAAGTCCTAAAGCTACGTATGCTAAATAAGCTCTTGCATCAAAGGTGTTTTCCTGTTATCCATTATTTCAGTTTTAGCAAAATGACTTTAGACTGACAGTAACAAAAAGAAGTCCAAGAATATAAAGACAGTGGTCATCAGCCCCTCACAGCCCGAGCAGGTCAGGCTAGGGACACGTCATTCATAAGCGGTGCAGTTTAGTGACATTTCATTTAAAATTAGCCAAAAATTACACCCAAGACATTCAATTTATTATGATGATTAATCAAAACTATGGGCTAAAAAATAACAAGCGAGCCAAAGCCAGGTGTCTCTTTCCAGAGTTGACAGTTGCCTGTTTTAGCTTGTCAACATGCTAACATGTAGCTTATGCTAAGCTGGGAATCTCGCTAACCGCGGCTAACGGTTGATTTTAGGGGTTTTCATGAAGGCCCTGCCAAGCTTCTATGCTTACTCTTAGTGAGAGCTTTCAGAGCTCGGGTGTAGTCCCCATTCTGTCCGCAGCGGTTCACTTCGGTCCACAGCGAAGCCACGGCCACCCCTCCGCTCGCCATTTTGGCTGAATGAACCAATAGTTGGGCGGAAGTAGAATATCTCACTTCCGGTCTTACGACAAATAATTTATAATATCACCACTTTACATTCAAACATTAAATCAATAAAACAACACAAAAATTGATATATGATCAGTTTTAATAATAAGAAAAAACTTGCAAAAATGTATTTTTCTCTAATTTCAAATAGGGCTTGGTCGTCGTGACGTCACCACTTTGCGTGGTCGCCATGTTGACGGCGCACTTTACGGCTTCCTTAGATTATTACCTGTGACTAACGCGTACTGTACTCCTTCTCAGCCGTGTTTTATTTCGTTTAATTTCACCGTAACTTGATTTCAACCATGGTAAACCGTTGCAGTATTGTGGGCTGTAACAGCGCATCACATGATCGCCGAGGGAAAAACCTACAAAATGGGATAACTTTCCACGCTTTCCTGCCTGGAGGCGCAAACACGGAGACCAAGTTTCACAGATAACAAAGAGTCGTCGGCTAGCTTGGATCGCGGCTGTAAGACGACAGAACATAACTTTCCACAGTATCCCGATGTCAATGCGAGTGTGTTCCCTGCATTTTCATTCTGGTAAGTTAAAGATGCACGGTTTTATTTTATAGCCTACAGTATTTCCTTCCTTCATCCGTGGCACCACATACATGCATGAACGCGCGCCCAGAGACTGTTGATATAACATTTTCATCCTCGTTGGTTGATATAGCATTTGATATAGCATTTCATCCTCGTTGGTTGATGTAGCATTTGATATAGCATTTTATCCTCTTTGGTAGAACACACTGCCAGTTCCTACAAGGACAGGGACATCCCTCTCCATGTTAAAAAAAAACCCTGAGGTTGACAGCTGTCATAGCACCACTTACAAATTTTGCTGATCCTAGCGCTTACCAGCCGTCTTGTAATGTAATGTAATCATATAATACAATATAATAATGTGTATATTGAGGATCATTGATAACATTATTGTTCTATTTGTTTTCAACACTGCTGCTGTGGATAATAATTTTAAATTGTGTCACCAGGAAAACCAGCAAATGAAATGTACACCTCGCATCCGGATTGGGCACCATCACTACACTGGGATGGATGAGACAGCTATTGATGACCTTGTTCCGACCCGGTAAGCCTTACAGAGCCAGCAGATTCAACACCGTATGTTGCTTCTGTGGCTTTTTCAGCTGCATGATGCACATTTAGCTAAAAGATGTCCTTATTTTATCCATAGTGGAGACACCAGCTGAGGATGGAGCTGAGCAGACACCGCTGACAGAATGTGACTTCTGTCAGCGCCGGCGTGCTGAAATCAACCGGCTGCTGGAGGAGAACAAGACCCTGAAACGTGAGCTTGGCCAGAGAAAAATGGATGAAGATTTCCTGAAGGAAGACACCGTCAAAGTGAAATACTACACTGGACTTCCACACCTTAAAGTCAACCACTTTATTCTGGTGTTTATGAATTACTGTATTAAAGAAAAGATTGATGCTCAATATGGAATTGACAATTTCTTTGTATCAACAATACACTCTAAGCAAACATTTAACAAGTGGGTTGTTTTTTAGCCATAGGTGTGTTTTGCATCCATACCCAAAAGCAAGAGGTCTCAAACGATCAGATCCTTTTCAGTGTTTATTTGCAAGTAGTGAAACTTGAGAACACAGTGTAGTGCAGAACAGTGCAGTGCAGTTTGAATGCTTGTAGGTAAATGGTTACAAATAAAAAATGGACGCAATGAAAATGCAGTGCAATTACTTACAATAACATAGTATGTATTTATACAAAATGTTCAATCCTATTAATAAGTCGGTCTTAATGAAACATCAATGGAGAAATGGAAAGTGGAGGTATTGCAAATTATTATTATACAAATTGTAGTTATAGTAAACATTAACAGTTAAACACTGTTAGTGCAAATTCTTATATAAGTATTTATAATAATATGCATTACTTAAATTGTATAAATAAAGGCTGCGATGCAATATTTCATGATATACAATAATATAATCTATAATTGTATAATAATATAACAACGTGCAATAATATGCAAATATAACAATACAATGTAATAATAAAAAATACTATGCTTTTTATAAAAAATGTCTATGATGACCCATGGCTTCAGGGGAGTCTCATTAATGCGCTGAGAGTGCAAGACCTGAGGAGAAAAAAAATAGACATAAATTATGCAGGTAAGGACACCATTATATTTCATTCTATGCAGGAAAGCAAACGTTAACCTCAACCCCTCATGCATGTGTATACATATATAAATCACAGTTATACAACAGTAAAGTATAACAACCACGCTGTTATATTGTTATATCACTTAAAAGAAAAAGAAATGAAATGAGCACAGGACATTTAAACCTGCATAATACCTCTGACTGAATGATTTAAGCTCAAAGTTACCCGTTACAGTGTTTTATGAGGTCAGATTTAATAACCCGCAGTCAATACTGCACTCATTTTTCTAAATAGTTCACTTTGAAAGACTCTGATTCAAACTAGGAGTTAACTTGAATGGCCACAGCACTGCACTATTGTTTATTTTTTTTATATTTTGCGGATCTTTGACTATTTAATCTGTTCCTTAAAATTTTATTAATAACAATGTTCAATATATGATTTTCAACAAAATACAGATGTAACACCTATCCAGTTTCTGAATGATGGTAAAAAATCTTGTTTCTACCAGCAGCTGGGGGAGACTAGATTAGAAGATGGTTCAGAAAACCTGTCAGGACACATTTTTTTCTAACACTAAGAATCAAACAAATGCTGATTTCTATTTCAGCAAATTATTCTTAAATTTTTTTTTAAATAATTTGAATAAATGTTTTGATAAAGATTTGAGATTCCTTTCACTGAATGAATGGTCACAAAGCTAGTGTTAAGCTTGAAGTAAATCAAATGGAATGCCCCCCTCCCTTTAAGTTCTTTCTGCAGCCGGGTCTGGCTAACGTTCATGTTGATCCTACATCTGCAGCAGGAAAAGGCTCAGATACGCGAGGAACCCGGAGGGTTGGCAGTTACCGTTACAAACTACACCTTTGAAACACATAGCAGCTAGTTAAAAGAACATTACATGCGTCAGTGGTTGTCAGCACTAGCGGTTAGAAGTTGCTAAACTAGCAGTTGTCAGAGCTCGTCTGAACACAGCTTACCTTGGTGCGTATCACTGTGTTCCCAGTGTTTGCTGGCTTTATGAGCTGCAGCTCCTGAACCCATCCATTGGTGAACTGCACATGAGACTCCAAGGACTTGTAGCTTCTGTATTGTTCTGAGGTATATGCGCTTACTCCACAAACAAGGTAGCCGAAGACGTCCGAGAAGGAGAACAGTGGCAACAACTCGTCGTCGGTGCTCCACTCATTATTTGGAAGCTCTTACGGATCCAAATTATTTATGATGCTGATTTTGTCAACATACCGGTCCCTGGCTTCTCTATTAAGTGTATCCCGGTAAATTCCGGATCCTTTTTGGGACTTCAACATCGTTCTTCTCTTCTGCTTTTCCTCGTGCAAATACGTTATGTCGGCGCTATGAAATTGTTAGCGTAGCCGTCAACATGGCAACCACGTCCCAGAATGCAAAGCGGATCCCGAGCCCTATTGTCGCAGTCGTATGACGCCTTCAAGGCTGGAGATTAAAATTGGAATTCGTACTTAATCACTCAGCTTCCAATCTATATTCAGCAATCAACGTGAAGTGTAAAATGATTATTAAGGCAATGCTTCACCATTATTAGAACAAAGTTTGCAATTATTGTATCTGTTCATTTATTGTATTCTTCCTTTCATTCATCAAACTTTCAAAAATGACCATACCTCGTTTCTTTTCTCATGTTATCACATCACTTAAGTGTATCTTTTTCTTATTGTATAGAAAAACACAAATAACCTAATAGTTCTGCACTCAAAGGAGAAGAATGGTTTTCATTGTTTTGTTTTATAAATGCAAATCTGAAGGGTGCGGTGTACTGTAATTTGTAATACATTTTTCTTTGCTCCTTTGATAAACTATGCCGTGAAAACCATTAAAGTTTGTTGGACTAAAATTGCAAATACATCACTTAATGCATCATGAAGACTAATAATCTGAGAAGCAGCCAAAAGGCCCATCGGAAATAAAGAGGGGTCATCAGAAATACACAACTGAAATGAGAGAATCTGTTGAGAAATAATTAGTTTGTACTCCTGAAATCTGTCAGGAATAGCAGAGAGGAAAGAAGTAAGCATTAGGTGTAAACACCTATTAGAAGTTTCTTTTACAGTTTCCTACAAACCATGTTATAGGTGCATACATATATGTTCATACCTCTGGTGGATGGTGTAATTGTTAGAACTAACCGAAATTGGACTTCATGCTATGGGTACACAGCACATTATTCTCCAGGGAGAATTAATTTAGTTGGCAGAAATATGAAATATGATTAGAGTTGATGGGAAGACGGATTGAATAATTTCCCTTTGATAAAGCATTTTTAAATCTAATGGAAGGTTGTATTTAATCGGGCTAAATACAGGGTGAACTTAGAAGAAAACCTGTTACTGTATTTTTGTAAGCATTTTTTTATATTTTCCCATATTAATACACATTAAGATTGTAGATACAATCTAAAAAATAGCTATATAGCTACTTGTGCTGCAGCTTCACACCTGACAATGGTCAACTCCTTAAGATGACTGTACTGGGGGAACTGATCAGATGTACTTTTGTATAGGTAATCAAGGATTTTCTTTACAGTTGTCATGGTCGAATTCTCGACCCATTCTTCTTGCATTTATTCATAGACTTGTAATGTGATAATAGAATAGAATGGAAAATTCCTTTATTGTCCCACAATGGGAAAATTCTGGTGTTCATGTATAAGAATAACATAATAATATGGAGCTAGACACTTTGATGGTACTGCAATTTTTAGCTGCTGAAATGTTACTACAAAATTACAAAACAAAAAGCCTATAGGCTACTTAAAATGTATGAATTCATCAGTCTAATATTACCGTAATAATATTAAGTCTTTATTATTATCCTAAAATAAGATTGTAATTTCACAGAGACTCCCAATTTAAAATATCTGCATAATGCAAATGTAGTATTTACATAAAGTGCGCGTTGTCCCAGACCAATCTATGAAATGGACTGATGGTCTTTATGGTAGCCAGCACAGTGTTTGTGTTTAATGCAGTATAATACCTTTGAATAATGACTAACTCAAATGGGCTAGTTCATTTATGGGAGAAAAACAAAAACAAAAAAACATTACATTTTAATAAAAAAAAAAGTAAAAAAAAAAATATGTGGTTTTGCTTTACAGAAAAATTTGCAAACTTCAGTGTTCAGGTCAGGTTCAGGCCTGGATTGGCGAGGGCAGAACACTAATGGCAGTTTATTAAAAAGAACAAAAGCAGACAAAAAAACAAATAAACAAACAAGAAAATAAAATGATTTATTCTTCACCAGCTTCATAATAGGAGTCAATCACATAAAATCTTATATTGAAATTTGTTGTAAATTGAAAAGGAAAATCAGAACAATCTCAACTGGGACTTCTTTTTACTAAACACTGTAGTCAGAAGTCTTTAGCTGCACATTTTTGTACCTTTTAAACAGGATAATGAAATTATTGCCCACTTATTCATACCTTATTAAAACGTTCAGCTAACAACACCATTTTAACTCACAATTCCCAGAACTCAGTTATGAGTTCTGGGGGCGTAAATCAATTATCATTGTAATAACTACCTAGTTTTATCAATAAAAATTCTGCATAAAATGGATATTTACAAGCACTAATATCTACATAAATTAATTATTTGATAAGTTTTTAGTAAAATTGTTAGTTATCTCTGATTTCACTGAAGACTATAGATGACTTGCAGAGACGCATATTTTTCTCTTTACCCCATATAACACAAAATCCAGTTCTGAAAAGAGCATGAATTCTGTACTTTCATCTTAGATGTTACTATATTGATTTGTATAATTACCCACAAAAAAATTTAATGTTTTGAATATTCCACTTGAGAGCATTATTGCTGCCACCATCTGTATTAGAGGGAAAAAATGGTTGCCAATGGTGGCCAATGATTGGCTAAGGGTGGCCCCCCCTGGCCCCCCATCTAGCTCCGCCCCTAAAGCCAGGGTGTAACTTTGTGATGAAAGTTGTTGAGGACACTCTAAGAGTGGTGGCTGATGGACCTATAGGTACTCGACACAAACGCTTTCAATAGGGTTTGTATTTTCCAAAATTGAGCTCAAACATCTATTTATTGAATGCTTTCCTATTGTTGAGAACACAGTAGAACCAAAATAAACTGATATTTATATTTTGTTTAGTAGTTAGACGTTAATGTATATATAAAAAAAAGGATGACTAATAGCCGATTCTGATGCCAACAGCAATATATCATGCCTCCCTAGAATGCACACAATTTCAGTTTCATTCATCAATCCATCCAGAAAAATGTGGATTGGTTGATTGGATGTTTTCCCTTTCAGCTACTGCAGTAATTATCCTCCTTCAAAAGCAGCAAAATCTAATTTTCTAATTTTTCCCACATATTGCTGAGAGCCAAAATCTATTGAAATTATTGGTGGGGATATGTCCACACCAGTCATTCACAGGGGCGGATCTAGATGGGGGCTCAGGGGTGGCCATGGCCACCCTTAGCCAATCATTGCCCCCCCCAGTGGTCATCCATACCATTTTTCCCTTTAATACAGACGGTGGCAGCAGTAATACTCTGAAGGGGAATGTTCAAACTTATTTAGCATTTAAATTTTTCATATATTAACAACTACTTGGCAACAGAAACACTGTGATTAAATATGCACATCAATATACAAGCACCAAAGATGATAGTTACAGAATTCATGCTTTTTTCAGAACTATATTTTGAATTATTTGGGGTAAAGATAAAATTATGTTCCTCTGCAAGTCATCTAGGAGTCTTAAGTGAAATCATAGATACATAATTACTTTAATAATAACTTAAAAATGTTTAAATATATCCATTTGATAGAAAACATGGATGTTGTGGTAGTTCATGTTGAAACTGTGTAGATTGACCCTGAGGTTCTGGTGCCTATTAGGAAATTTATTTAACCAATGTACATTACACCAGGTACCATTACGGAACTGCATTAATTGCATTCACAGAAAGTACATAAAGCATATCTCAATACAGAAGAAAACCAAATATAAACAGAGAGGAAACAATAATAATAGTAAAAATAATAATAAAGGGGCAACATTATATTATACATAAATTCAAGAACAGGGAGTTAAACCAGCAGATTACATTTATTCATGAAAGAAATAAATTTACCAGCACTTTGTGTTCTTACTAATTCTAAAAATTTAACATAAGATTTTTTTCTCATTTTTACAATAGGATAAAACAGGTTTACATTTTAATTAACAGCATTTGTGTAAATACAATGTAGCTAATAAAATGAAAATATTAAAATTAAAAAATGAAAATATTTTTGCAACTATACCAAATAAAGCTATTCTTAGGGTATAATCAGGTAACTGAATTCCTTTAGATTGGATCCATATCAGAAAATCAACCTTTTCTTTGATTTCACTGTAGTCCTTCAGAAAGTTACACCTGTGATAAAAAGAACCACTTCCGTTTTAGATGTGAAACACTTTATTTCCGACTGTATCAGTGACACGTGAACGCCACAGCCTCGGAACTCTTCATTCGAGGAGGAGGAGAAGAAGAAGAGGGGGTTTTGTTGTCATCCGTCAGGGTAGTGTGTCGAGCTTTTGTCCAGGAGAAATGGCCGGAATTAAAGGTATAAAAAAAAAGGCTCCATCTTTTTTTAAACGCTCCCATAAATGCATTTTATATAACAGTGTTAAGATGCTGAGGAGAAAAGCGGTGTGTTTAAACACCCATCAGGCTAACGGGGGGTGGCTGGGTGGGGGGGTTATATTAGCAACGGTTCAGCCGTTAACCAAATCGAGCTGAAACCCCCGCAGTGTTTTAATCGTCCGTTTTTCCACCCTCCGTGTTTAATGGATAGTGTGTAACATCGTGGTTATTACCGTTAGTTCGCCTTTAACCTGAGCCGCTCTCGTTGCTAATTTCGCTGCTCGGATTAACGGCTGCTGTTAGCAGCGCAGCTTCTGGTGGCACGACAAGCGGTTCCACGTGAAACCAGCCGAACATGATAGAGCCTCGTTGTTCTCCTCTGGGGTGATAACTCAGTCTGGTCTCATCTTCTTCCCCCCTACAGCTCTGATCAGCCTCTCCTTCGGAGGGGCCATCGGCCTCATGTTCCTCATGCTTGGATGTGCCCTGCCTGTATATAATAAGTGAGTATAACATTACAAACTGCGTTGCAGAAGATTATAAAGGGTCATGGAGTTTGGAAAAATATGGAATTCTTAAATTTTTTTTTAACCAGGTTTTGGAACTGTATGGAAATAAAAATTGTGTTCCGTTGTTTAAATGTTTTGTCCCATCTTTTATTTTGTTTTCCCCCTTTTGTCCTGCCTTCTTCCCTTCCTTCATACATTTATTTTCTTCATTATGCCCTTATTTCTTCCCCATCTCCTTATGCCCTTACTTCTCTCCCTCTTTTTTCCATTTCTTCTCTCCTCTATCCCATTCTTTCTTCCTCTATTGTGATTGTCCTTGTTTCATATTCACCTTTCCCCATCCTCTCTATTTACCTTTTTTCCTTACCAAGGCCGATCAGTTTAACCAATTGCTGATATGGTCGCTGCCGATATTTTTCTAAGCTGATCCTGTAAACCAGAGGTCATGGTTTAGTGGACCGGACCCAACCTGATTCAATACATTTATAAATTACTGCATGTTGTCTGATGACAGTGTCTAAACATCACTTGTGCCACTTCTATTACCCCAAAATCCCTCATCCTCCGTCACCGTCCCACAGCGCTCCAGACCTCCTGCGTAAAGCAAAGCCTCCAGCCTCCCATCCTACTGCGCTCCGAGCATGCACCATATTATCAGTAAATTCGTAGGCACAAAACATGCAGAAATGAACACTTAATTTAATATGACATACTAAATAATCCCCATCAGGATCCAGCAAATCTGCTTCCTGGTCTGTTGAAGAACCAATAGTTTGCATCCAATCTTTTAAATAAATGGCAGTAGTTTATTGAACTATATAAGAATTATGCTCTAATTTGTGGTTATTACCGATCTGTAGTTACTATATTTAATTTAACAAACCAGATCTTCTCGCTGCGATTGCAATAGTGGATCTTGACCTTGCCGGACCGGAGCTGAGCCTGAACATTTAGGGTATGTTGGGCTCCACCTGCTGCTGTGAAGCAGGATTCTCTACCATGAACAGAATCAAAATAATAACAGATTATAATAAAAAAATGTCTCTGGACCTTTACTGGTTGATGATTTTCTTTATTTTCTTTATTCGGACCAATATTGCAATATTTTTTTATCTATTTACGTGACATTCACGTGGCATCTGTTTATAAATTAAAGATAACATTGACATTGAATTGCAGATGGAGGGAGCGGCGATACATGCGCTTCATGTGATATCAGAGTATGGCTGCTGAATGCACTAATGAATTTGCGAACCCTTATATGTATCGACTGATACAAATATAAGATGAAATGGCTTAAATTGGCAAAATTATCCAGCTGGTATATTTGTCTTTATCCATTTCCCTCTGTTCCTGCTGCTCTTTTTGTGTTCATCTGTCTGTCATTCATTGTGCCTCCTTTCTTTATTTCCATATTCCTCTCCTTTTTTTTCTTTTCGCTGCTCTTCCCTCCCATCCTTCTTTCCCTGCCTTTTTCATTTTCTTTCTCCTGGTTTCTCTAGTTTATGCCTTTACCACATAAAGGTGTGTGCTATAAAAAAAATGTGCTATAAATGAGTAGTAAATGCAGGTATTTTATTTTTCAAAGTCTTAAAAGTTATTAGTCATTTTTACCTTAAAATGTGTTGTGCCAGATCATAGTTTGATCAGCCTGAGCAGTAGATGTTACAGCCATAAAGCATTTACTGCTGATCTGTGCAACATTATTAAGAAAGGCGTAGACCAGTAATTCAATCTGTCTGCTGTTTGCTAGAGAATAACAATAAAAATCCACTCTCTGTTCAACTAATGGCCGTAGGAAAGTTGGACTGAAGGCTCAGAGGAGAAGCAGTACAGCAACGATGTTAAAGATCCTAACATGCTCCCTGATTGGATGGAAAACTTAAACTGACATAAGATTATAAGATCAGATAAGATCTACTTCTTCAGAATCTGGATTTTTAGTTTTTAAATTATTACTTTGTTGAAATTGTTGAAATTAAAATCTAAACAGAGTTTGTTTGTGTTCCATTTAATCTCAGTATAAAAACAACTAACCTGTGGAAGCCTCAGAGGTTTGGGAGGGAATAATAGTGATCAAACTGCATCATAAAGCACGCAGTAAACGGGTCAGGGAGACACCTCTGAGAATGTCTCACACGCTAATATTCAACCTGTCCAAGTCGGCCAAAACCAACTGATCAGAAAAGAAGAGCATTTTAATCTAGAGCGGAGGTCTTTAACAGGGGGTCCGCGACCCCTAGGGGGTTCTTGCAGGTACTGCATGGGGGTTGTGACAGTTTTAGATGATTAGACTTTAGAGGAAGCCAAGCAGCCTGTCTCAACACTAAATAGCTGGTTATACTCCCACAGCAGTGTGTCATAGTGAGCTTGTTGCAGCTATGACACAGATATTTTTGATTTATGCTCATATTGAAGCGTAGTTTGCGCTATGTTTATTCAACACCAAAGCGCAAAAGGGGAAAATCACGAACTAGCTGTGGGTCTAGATACGGCTGAGGCAGTGAGAAGGTGGGCGCAAGTTTGAGGAGTGACATGGGGGCGAAAAAGGGGCAGGATCCAGGTGGAAAAAGGGTCCCAGTGTTCTCGCGCTCCTAGCTCTTCTAGCTGGTCCAACTTCACGAGTCTTTTTCCACAATGGCTGTCATACAAACAAAACAAGCCGGTAAAGCCTGGTACCAAACAGGAGACGCAAAGTGTAGAGCAGATGTGGATTTGACCAATCAGAGGCCTCCTGTGTGCGGTCACCTACAATTTGGGAGAGAAGAAGTGATTTAAAAAAAGACACTCTAAATCTGCTTAAAACAAAAAGATATGAATACCCTATAATGGTGATGTAAACAAATAATCAACTTTAGACTAATTGTCAATAGACGATTTATTAGATCAAAGTCATCCTTTGTCTCTAGACGTACAAAAATGGTAGAGATGTTCTCCAAAGCTTTGAATGAACTGGGTTGAACTGACATCTCCAGACCTTTTTTTCCAGCTTTGTAAACTGCGTATTCCCTCCTTTTCACACTGTTCTGTCAGATGAAGTGATAATAAAATACGTAAAATTTTGTGGCTGTAATCTGAAAAATGGGGGAAACTTATAGTGCAAACGTAAATGAAGAACGAGATGCTAACTCCAAAGCACGCAATCACAGTAGCAAATGCAACAGGAAAATGCTGTTGGCAAAAAATGCTGCAACCACTGAAATAGCCAAAGCTTACATTTAACAGAACAAAGGCAAACAAAAAATGCTGCAAGAAAAAACAAAAGGCTCATTTCTTTTTATTTGCAGTTTTCTGTTGCGTTTGTGTTTTTCTTGTTTTTTTTTTTTTCTGTTGGATGAATACTTTTGTTTGACACAGCAGCTCTGGGAGACAAACTGTCGGAATAATAAAACGTGGACAAGATGATCATAAACTTATGTCAGACTCTTTAAACCAATCCTGTTTTTAACTGAGGAACTTAATAAATGGCTTGTTTCCTATATTTAATTGATGAAGTAATACGAATAGAGCAGTCAGTTCAACCCCGTCCTGCAAACACAAAAGTTTTATGCTGTTTTTATCCTTCAGTTCTCCTCTAAGCATCCTGTACCATCGCCACGGTGCCTCAGTATCCATGTCTCCTTCATTTGTCCCTCTTCCTGTTTCTCTGCAGCAAATATTGGCCTCTGTTCCTCCTCTTCTTCTACATCCTCTCCCCTATCCCTTACTGCATTTCGCGGCGGGTAGTTGATGACACAGACTCTGCCAGTAACGCCTGCAAAGAGCTGGCCATCTTCCTCACGACTGGCATCGTCATCTCTGCCTTCGGCCTGCCCATCGTCTTCGCGAGAGCTCAAGTGGTGAGTCATGGCTACTTGGTTCTTATTGTTTGTGTTGTTTCCGGCTAAATGTAAGTGCTAGCTGCTCCTGCAGGTTTGAACTCCTTTGACCTTAATTCTGGATGTACTGGTTTACAGATCGCCTGGGGGGCGTGTGCGCTCGTGCTAACAGGTAACGTAGTCATCTTCGGGACCATCCTCGGCTTCTTCCTGGTCTTCGGATCCAACGACGACTTCAGTTGGCAGCAGTGGTAAAACGTCCAAGTGAGGGTGGGGGGGGTGGGGGGGTGATCTTAGGCTGAACTGTTTTTATTAGCATTATTATTATTATTATTATAGTATTACTGTTTGGTTGTTGTTGTTATTTATATGATGACCACCCATCCATAGACTTACACCAAACCAGTGCAATACTTTTATTTTCTCGCCTGCTTTATGTTGAACTGACACAACAAAGATGGAAAATGCTAACTTATAGTTTTATTTTTTATTTTATATTAGTTTTCTTCGGTCTATTACTTTTGTACTGTGATTTTTCTTCATGTGTGCGTCGACACTGTCACCATTGGAGCTATGGTCTGAATAAGAAGGAGCAACATGGCAGGCTGTCATTGCTATTAAAGGGTTACTTTCTGCTGAAACAGTGCAGGTTTTCAACATCTTATGTAAATGTTAAGTGACTCACAATAAGCTTCAAAACTTGGTAAGAAAGAGTATAAATTGTCTTTTTCTTTTCAGTTTTGTTAAGACTTTTACCTTTACGATCAAATGTTCTCTACTTCATTTGGCTCAGACACCAGAGAAAAAAAAACATCAACACTTTAGCTTGTTATCATGGGACAATAAAAATTATTTAGTGACAGCAGGGGAAGCATGCTGCAAAAAGGCTGTTTTGTGTGAGAAACTGCTTTTTAAAAGGACCTATCGGCTAAGAAAATCATCAAAGAGATTGATTGTGATTTAATGTTTCATACTTTCAAGATTTTTAGCATTTGCTCTGGTTATACTCTATGAGATTGATCTCCACTAACATTAGAAGGTGTGAAAGCAGAAGCCGGCAGTAACAGTAGGATTAGCTGTATGATGGCCGCCCTGTCAGGGAGCCAAGGTACCACATAAACCTGCCTACTTAGAACCAGGCCCTGTTGGTCACTAATAACTTAACAGTGTGACTCCTTCATAGTAAATGAATCCACTCACTGAACCTGCCTTGGGGATTATTAAGAATACTTCCGTCTCACTTGGCACACACAATGCTTTAATTTAGGAGACAATCTCTGGGGATTGTTTGCTCCTGGATTCCCTGAATGAGAAGAGAATGGTCTAATCTGGATCTGGGGGCAGTTAAAAGTGCTTTAGGCCCCAAACAAAGAATTACACCACAGTCTCAGCTCAGCTCTGCTCCTGAGGGTGAGGTCCAGATCTAGATATAATTTGATTTCCTTTATTAGAAACTCTTTATTAATCATTTATTTACATTTTCACATTTATTGTTTTGGCCCAGATTCCAAGTTGGAATCTTATTTTTTCATTTGCTGTAAAGATATTTTCCGTCTGAAAATGTTACCATATTTTGTTACAGTGGGTCAAACCAACTGCTTTGTCTTGTTCGGATTAAACAATGTATTAACTGAAAGGCACTGATCTGAATGTTAGTAATGACTGCTAGCATGATAGAGTCCCAGCTCAGTAGATTGAATTTTACAAAATTCAAACTCCCTGTGAATTCAGCGGTATTTATACGATATATTTACCCTCAAATTGAAAAGAGCAACTCTTACTCTGGCCCAGGGGGGCAAACATGCTACATACATGAGCACCAAATACTGAAACTACAGCGAACATAATAATGAGGCGAACACACAAAAAACATGCGAAGGGAGAATGCTGCAATGACAGAAAACAGCAGCTAAAGGGAAAACGCACCGCAAACAAACTCTGTCGTAAACAGAGAAATGATGCAAACACACAAAACATGTTAAGGGAAAATGCTGCAAGTAGCAAACATTTCTGCAAGTTAAGAAAAGCTGCAGATCTGTTCCAGTCCATTAGGGGGAGACGGTCATCATGTGCATGGATCAGGGCTCACAGCAATAAACAGGATGCCTGCTCTGGTGCATTTGGAACAAAGAGAGAAACGTACATTTTCATGTGAAGCTCTATAAAAAATCTCCCTGAGCTTAAAGATTTGGTCCCCTATGAGTTAAGGAATGTCTCCCCCTAGTGGTCTGGGGCGCCTCAATTATCCATAGCTTGTTTGCAGCGCTTTTTAACATGCAGTTGTTTTTGCCACTTATAGTATTTTCTTTTTGCATGTGTTTTGTGTATTTGTACGCTATCATAATTTTTGTTTGCAGTGCATTTATCTTTTTTTTTTGCTGTAGGTTTACTGCCCTCTAATTTTTGTGTTGCAGCCTTTTTCCTTTGCTGGTGTTTTTTTGCTCATATAAATTGTTTGCAAGTCTTGAAAGGACTTTTTTTCTGTTCACATAGAGAACACATAGGAATTTAAATGACATCTTATTATGTTTACATAATAATCTTAGCTGAATCATTTCCACTGACTCTCTTTAGGGGTTTATTTGCTTACTAATAAAGACAGGGTAACAATTTTCCTCTTTTCATGAAAAAATTCTCAGCGTGTGAAGATAAATGTTTGATCATTCAGTTATGATAAACACTACCAGCAAAGCCACTTAGCTTATAATAATGGACAATAAAAGAACATTAGTTTCATTTATACTGTATTTGTTCCCGACCGGTTCCAACTTTCTTTGTTTAGGGTAACTGAACTGCCAGTTCTGATTTTCCAGCAAGAACTATACATAGTAAAATTTATATGTAAAGATGAACATTTATTAATAAAAGAAACTGATGCCAGAAGTAAAAAAAAAAAGTGTTGCAGGTGTATTGATATCCCTTTTTAATTAAACGTCCCAAACATCTGTGAGATATTTCTATTAAACTATGTGTTAAATGCATTTTAAAAAGCGACAGTTACCAGTTCTCATGCATTCATAACCAGGGTAATATTTCATGTTCCAACTGATGATCACAGGAACAATTTACCCGTTTCAGTCAATGGCCAATACAATTTTGCATGATGGATTTCAAATTCATGAAAAAAAAATTATTGAATAAAATATGAAGCTTCTCTTTTTAAGCCTTGCAGAAAAAAAAATGTTTTGATCTGTTCATATGTCTGAAGTTATTAAACATATTAAAGGCCTCACAGTGACACTTTGCTCTTTGGTTGAAACAAGTCTCTTTTGGGCAACCCTCCAGAGGTGGGAACATCTGGCATGGCTACTGTTTCAGTTTTAAGCTGAATAAGTGAAATGTTCTCAGATTTCGATGTTTCTGGGTCTGCTGTAATTCCCTTGGATGTGACAGAGGCTGATGTGTAACTATGGGATGGATTTCTCTCTATGTTTTTGTTTTTATTGTCTGTTTCTGTTGTTCATGATGAGAATATGCTGTATTAATTTATTTTGTTGGGTCTACGCTTGTTTCCATTTTTTTATGGACGTTTGTGTTGAAGGAACAGCAGTCGGCATGGTGGTTTCTTCTTTGATTTCTGTTTTATTTTTAATAAATGCCATTTTTGAACATTCTCTCTGTTGAATGACTCCTGATGCCTCCTGACTTCCCATTAGATAAGTACTGCTTTGTGTTGGTATATTACAGAGAATCAGAGGAAACTATGGGGTCCCCATAGGAAACAATCATTACAGAAACTTCAGATTAAGCTAATTAATATTAATGTTACTGTAAACAATAAGATAGCAAAATAACAAACAACTTTGGTCAATTGAAATAAAAACTTTAAAAAAACATCTCAATCAAAAAATACTTTGATAGAAACCTTGCTTCTTTCTCACATATAATTTTTTAACATTTCAAATGGAGGTTTATGAGTTTAGTTTTTTAATTGTTTTTTACAGATTGTGATCTTTTCTCTTCTTGGGCGGCCTTTTCTCTTTCCTTTCGGAGCCAAGATGCATTTTATCACTCTTAAAAGATTTTAGAAATTATTAGAAAAGAGCAAACAATTATCGGACTTGAAGCGAGGAGAAGGTGAACTGTAAAAAACGTAATTTTAGAGATTGTAATTTGTAAAATTCTGAAAAATAAAATGTGAAAAACAAGAATTTTGAAATATGGAATCTGTTACAAAAAAAAACAACTTTATTCTCAAAACCTTTTTTGATTTAAAAGTTTCATTTCTGGTTAGCAGTTTTTCAAACTTCTATTTCTATAAAATGTTCTTTGCTTGCAACAATAACCTAACAAATTCTACTCTATAATAACCAATCTGAAATGAAATGTGATTAGTTTGCTGACGTAGTTATAGATTTTGCCTTGCAGGAAGTGTTGATGTTCTGCTAAACGCTGATATAGTTACATTTTACATAATTAAAATGCATCGGGAAATAGATTTTAATGTTCTGCCGTTTCATTGAAGCAGATAATATTAACAAGTCTTTATTAGCAAGTGCAACTCGTTAAACAACACAACCATTTGCATTCACTATGTTGGAGCAGGAAACAAAGTGTTAGTCACCACTAAACCTCAGACTCTAAAACATGTAAAAGAAATATTATTTATATTTATGAAACAGGATTAGGTAAAGTAAGTTTTAAGAGTAAAGGGGCTCTTAATGCAAAGCTTATAAATACCCTAAAACAAGCCAAAGCGGGATTGCAAAAAGGTTATTCCAAAATTTGGAGGTATATGGAGGGCCGTAATATGTCATGAAATAAATAAATGTCCCATCAAATAATAATATACCATGAAAAATGAGGACTTATCATTCATTCATTTATTATCTAATACATTATTTAAACAATATATATTCTATTAGGTTGTAAAATGCACAATTAAATAATGAAAAGGCATTTAAACTTGGGAAATGAATGCCATTAAAATCGATTCAATAATGAATAGAATTATTTCACATTGTATGTATGAATAAACATAACGTCTGTTGCATTGTTTTTTTTTTTTTTTTGGATCACAAGCTAAAATGTTTGGGAATGCCTTCCCTAAGATGTTATTGAAATAAAACTGATAACTTAAATGTTTTCCTTTACATGAGCTTTGCCTCCATCTGCTGGTAGAAAGTAGGAAGTACAACAGGGATTCAAGAGTTTTTAATTCAGTATAATTGGCATTTTCCAGACACGTTTAATTTCTGTTATTCAAATTTCGTTAGTTGGTTAAAATTAATTGCAAAAAGATAAATCTTTTGTAAGGAACCAAAGCTTAAAACTGAAATAGTGAAATTTATGTGTTGGAAGATTTGACTTCAAAAAGCAGCTTTCGCTGTAGAATTCAGTCTGTCTGCAAAGATATAGATTTATGCAGTTTTATTTATAATTATAGATGCATAAATGATCTTATACAATTTGTTAAATTCATAAAAGCAAATAGGAAGGTTAAGTGATTGATATTTTATTGGTTATTTGGCACAGGAGTACCTGGAGAGAACCCAAGCGTGCATTGGGAGAACATGCAATGACCCAGCAGAAAGACCTGAGGGCCTTTTTACTGTAATGCAACAGTGCTACAAACTGCACCTTTGTTCAGCCACTCTTATTATACAATGTTTTAACATTTCAAAACAGAGCCAGGTCCATAAATATTGGGACATGAAGTCAGTTCCTTTCAGCTCTATAAGCCCCGATACATTTGAAATGAAATGACAAAGATATGCTTAAATACCAGACTTTGTTTTAATTTGAACATATTTACATCCAAATCAGGTAAACTGTAGAAATTACAACAGTTCGAATATTTGCTTAACACTCTAAAGGACGAACAGTAAATGGCTGCTTCCCCCGTTGTTCCAGTTATAAGCAGCAGATCAAATGTCCAGGCTTTATTTCAAGTGCGGTGTTTGTTGTTTGTTTAACACGAGAAGTGCTACAGTTCTAGTTTTTATTCCACTCCGTTAATGAACTCTGATTTGGTGTTGCTTCAATATCCTTTGAAAGCTGTTTCCTTCCTCTCAACTTTCCACTGATATGCTCGGGTTCATCGCTCTGAACATCCATATCATTAACCTCCATGAGAAATATATATCTGCTAGGGAAAGTTTTCCCATAATCGACTGGGATATATATGAGCCAAAAACACAACCTCTATTAAAAACATTTCCTTAATTGTTCTTGCACAGTATTCTATTTTCTAAGAATCTGAATTAGGTGTTTTTATCATAGTTATAAAAGGATAACTGCCGAATGCCGGGATGAGAATCAGCTCCTCCAAGTCAGAGGTCATGGTTCTCAACTGGAAAAAGGTGCCTCCTCCTCTTCAGGTTGGAGGAGAAGTCCTGCCTCGAAAGGAGTTCAGGTATCTGGGGGTCCCGCTCCTGAGTAAAGGGAGATCGACAGACAGATCAGTTTTTATGATAAGGATGCTGAAGTGGTCTGTTGTTGTGGAAGGAGAGCTTAGCTGTTGGTCTGTTTCTACCCTCACATATGGTCATGAAATCTGGAGCATAACTAATGGAATGAGATCCTGGATACAAGTGTCTGAAATGAGCTTCGTCTGCAGGGTAGCTTGGCTGACCCTTAGAGATAAGGTGAGGAGCTCAGTCACTGGGAGAGGCGCAGAGTAGAACTGATTCTCATTCACATTGACAGGAGTCAGTGGAAGAGGCTGGGACATCTGCTTGTGTTCAGACACATCCTACCGGGAGGAGGTCCAGGACACACCGGAGGGACTATGTAACTCATCCTGCCCTGGAACGCTTGAGACTTTCCTTAGCAGAGCTGGACAAGGTGTCTGGGGAGAGGGAAACCTAGGATTCTCTGTTGAGACTGCTGCAACCTGGTTCTGGAAAAGTTGAACACAAGAACAAATAAGATAATTTCCTGAAGAATAAATTTTTTGTCATGCCAGTTCTCATTACCGTTCATCTGATCCACCTGCTTCAGCCTCTATTTAACCAGCCTTCAACTACTATCACTGCCAGACTATTCAAGCCTTTGGTGAGAGTGTTTCGGATTGCCTGATCCCGACCCGTTCTGCCTCCGGACCTCTGGGCCTCCATGTCCTGTTCTGATCTGTTTGCCTGACCTGTCCTTGGACTCCTGCTGGATTCTACCTGTGTACCGAACCTGGAACTGATTCCTGACACAGTCCTGAATTTCTCTTTGGCACCTCTTCGGATCTTCGGTCCTAATTTATATATATATATATATATATATACATATCAAAATTTTCACTTCACTTACCAGACTTGTCTATGGAGGATCAACATTTCCCGCAAGTCTAATATATTACAAGAAGGGGATTAATGTGAATATGTCCCAGAACTTTTCTCCCTGACTTCTGTTAAAACACTGATTCACATAACAGACAGATTTCAGTGGCAGATGCGTTTTAATTTTATTCCCATCTGTGCTTAAATTTTAGCACATCTGCTAATTAGGCAAGATGCCTCATCAAAAAACCAACAAATTATTCCACCTTTTTTAGTATAAACCACGTAATTTCTTAATTATAAGTAGTCCTATAAAGTTACACATCATGAGGCTCTGACCTGAAGGCTTTAACTTTCACGCCTGCTGCTAGACTTGACTTGCCTGACTCTTTCAGGCCTCTCTCTGCCAGAGGCAACATTTTCTCCACCTCTTGTATCATCAGATCAGACCTATAATTTAGGAATGAAACAAGTAATCCTGTAGCTTTCTTATTATTCTAGCAGAAACAGAACATGCAAGCTTTGCTGCAATGCTCCTTGCATTCATGTTATGACAGCAGCAGTTTGGATTAATGCTTAAACCTGTCTGCTCCAGGTATGAGCTTTTGTTAAAGGCTGCACAAGTGAGGGAGGTAGGTTTTGTTGGAAAGGTGCACACCATGTCCTTCCTGACCACGCGGCACACCCATTCCTTGCCTTGCAGATACTGAGAAGAAGATTTGAGATTTGAACCAGAGGTTAACAGACAGGTGAGCATGAGGAGGTTTTTCAAAGCCCACAGAGTTGAGGATTACAGTCAGATCCAGTACCTGACCGCCAAATGCACCCGCCTGACTCATGAAAAGGGTAAGATATGCATATTAAGACTAAACTAAAAATGATCTACGGTACTCAGCTTATTGACCTACTTTACTTTCCATCTTCTTGTGCTTTTTTCATAATCTTGTGCATTATAAAACCTTTGTGAAACACAAGTAAGTGTTAAATGTGACAAAACCTTGAATAAGTACTACATTAGCAACTGTTGTTAGATCCTAAAAGCAAAAAGAAAATGGACAATTATTTATTTTTTATTTTAGAGTTTAAGAACTGGAAGTGAAAAGTAAAATAAGTTGAAAAAAAAAATTAAGTGTAATTAGCATTAAATTTGAAGTGAAGGATTTTTTTGCCTTGGAGGTAATGATGCAGCTAAATATTAATGCTTGGATCATTATCCTTTTTTGCTTTTAACTCTTTATTTGCTTTGACATCTTATATCTTGCAGAAATAATACATGTAATGTTAGTTATAACAAGATGACTGATTTTATCTGTTATATTTGAACAAAAGCGACGGACTTGTATGTGCTGTAAAGTATTTAAAATGTATTTAAAATAAGAGTCTGATTTATGTTTTATTTTTAACTAAAACTGAGATGTCATGTGAAAAAAAAACGTTTGGGTGACTTGTAGGGTGAAACTAAATAAAGAGTAAATTCTCTTACATAAAGAAAAAGTCTAGAATGAATACAAGGCAAACAATTTCTTTCTAAAATGTTTTTTTTTTTTTGTAGAAAAAATGTTCCTTGATCCTTTATGATGAAAAGTATTTTGTTAAGAATACTTTACGATAAGAAAGCTATCACTCTCTGAAGAGTTAGCTGTATTTTAGTTCTCTGTTAAGCTTTCCTAACTAAGTTTCACAATAGCGCTCCATCAACACCCTTTACAAGACCAGATCAGATTTATTTTTTTAAATTTATAAACAATTCACTCCACTCATGAAGAGAGATTTGAATTAATTAGATTTAAATTAAACTATTTTCCAATGCACCCTTCTTATTACCAGCCTGGGTTCTTGCCTATTGTTTTCAAAGAGCTAATTCATGGTCAAAAACACATACGGAAAATGAGCATTCACTCACTGCACATAACTTTCTTAACACTTCTACAGCCCTGAAATATGGTTAAATCCATTTGGCATTTAGATTGACCTTTGTTTAAAACCAATAAACCCACATTTAGTTTAATGCAAACTGTTTAAACAGGATCTGTTTGAAGAATCACACCTGACTGCTTTAAGTTGCTGACTTAGCAGGAACTTAAAGCAGCCTTGAAGCATTAAACAAGAATGTCTCTTCACATTTTAATCCCAGTCTTGCTTTTCATCACCTCTATCTTTAAGTTTTTAATTTGACTAAATCTACAGACCATCTGTAGGTGTTCGTCCTGACCGTGCTGTGGTCTATCTTTTGCTACAGCAGTGTTGGAAAGAGAATTTCTGGTTTCCAGAGAGAGGGAGAGGAAGCTGCAGAATGAGATGGAAGCCGTGACTGCTCGTCTCCTCCAGCAGGAGGCACTAAACTTGGAGCTTAGTATAAACCAGGACCAGCTCATCAACCGGATCCATCAGCAGCGGGTAGGTTTTCTATGATTGATCAGAGCAGGTTGATCATTCTGGATTTAGCAATGGATAAAGCAACCATAGTTAAATAGAGCAACAAACAACCTTAGGATTAAGTTTAGACCAAATTCAATTAATTTCATGAATAGAGCGCCAATTCACAACACGTCATCTCAAGGCACTTTAGAAAGAGAATACTGTCAGATTGGTTGGGGAGATCAGTTGATTGAATCCAGCCTGGATGAGTCTGCAGCGACGACCTTTGCTTGCATTTTGTTGTTGTCTCTACAGCAATCCCTTACACCAAGGGTGCTTTCAGCGACAGTGGAGAGGAAAACTCCCCTTTAATGGAAGAAACCTCCAGCAGAACTAGGCTCAGTGTGAGCAGCCATCCGCCGAGGCCGACTGGGGACATAAGCAGACATAGAAAAAGAGCAGAGATACAAAAGGCAAATGTTAACTAGCTCCATAGGTGGCAATGTCCTGGAAATACACAGTCAGGCAGATGAACTTCGAGCCATTTCTGTTGGTCACGGTAAAAGAAACAGGACTACACTGAAAAACAGGTCAGCTCCAACATCTACATATAAACAAAGGTGTTGATGGCAGCAGCACAACTGATATTTGTCTCCAGGATGGTGTCACAGCCAAACACGAACAGACCAGATGAAGCTACTATGATGAGAAAAAGCAGAGAGAGCATAAAGTTATTAGTGGAACTTGACAAATACTGCAGAATGGGAGAATAAAGATAGAATGAAGAAGAAAGAGGAAAAGTGAATCAGCAGAAGGCTTTTTACTACAGTTTGTCAACTTGCTGATAGTAAAGAATAACAATAGTCCGGCCTTGAGGTAACAAATGCATGGAGTAGTTTCTCAACATCACCCCTGTACAGGAGATTTCTAATTTTTTGCAATATTCACAGATGAGAAATATGAAGTCTTTGATACAGGATTTAAATGACAGGCTTAAATAACACCAATATTTTTTACTTTATCATCTGAGTCAATTTAGTCCGAACATAATGAAGGGACTTACTAATCATCTTCTTTTTCAGGGGTTTAGGTCCAAAGACAATTACTTCTGTTTTTTCTGCATTCAGAAGCAGAAAGTTAAGAGTCGTCCAGGTTTTTATGTCTTCAAGACATGCCTGTAGTCCATGTAATGGGTTAGTTCCATCTGGATTTAAAGACAGATATAGCTGAGTATCATCAGCATAGCAGTGGAAATTAATCCCAAGCTGTCTAATAATTGGGAGCATAAATATATAGTAAAGAGAATTGGTCCCACTGATCCCTGATCCCATAACAGACCTGTATTTGTGGACAAAGGTGTTTAGTTTGAAGAAGAACATTTGTGAAAAACTTATTAGGCAGCCTTTTGGAAAACATAAAATACTCATTTAGTGAGGAAATTGTTGCAATTAAAAATTATTCAAATTGTTTAGAGGTTTAATTTAAACACCTGCCTAAGCTGAACCCATGACTGGGTCTGTCATGTTGAAGAGGTTAATGCTATAAAATCTAGTTGTAGTTTGCACTGGATGAATAGATTACAGAGATCAATGTCTGAACCAAAGGCAGATAAATATTAATGGGTATTATTATCTGGATATTGAACCTGAAAATGCTTTACTAGAAAATTCCAGAATATTAACTCCATATTTCCCAGGAAATAAGACAACTTAAGATTCCTCTTACATAGTTTTATATCACTTCCTAAATTTGTTGAAACTCTATTTTCAATCAAACCTCTGTTGAATAAGAGATCTATGTGAACAATTCAAGAAGTGAATCTTTTAAGGAAGGTGCTGCAGTAACGATTGCTACTCATGTCCCTCTGTCTTCCTTGCAGAACGTGGTGGAGGCCCTGCAGCAACGTCTGGTCTTGCTGGCTGGGGAGAATCGTCGGGATATGGAGCTGCTGCAGCAGGTCAGCTCAGAGCTGCTGTGTCTGCAAAGCTCTGAGGTGAAGCTGGAGGGCCTGGTGGAGGAGCTGCATGCTGAGGCCCAGCATCGAGCCGCACTGGCAGACAGCCTGCATGCAGAGCTGCACAGGTAGACTCATTTCACCTTTTGTTATTTCTTTATCTTAAATGTGATCGATCATCGCTTCAAGGAAACAATCTAAAAAAATACAAATAACAAAAATGGTTATAAGTGGTTTTATTTCATGTTTTTGAGAAATAGTGTTACTTTTTCATATCCTTAGTTGCAGAACTTTATTATTTTATTGAGGTTTTCTAAACATTGATATTTTTCGGCATTGATTTTAGCAAATTTGTTTGTTACTTTTGCTGTTTAAAACAGCAGAGAGAAGCACTTCCACCAAGTGGAAACTGAAATTAAATAAAGCTGGAAATCAGCCGCTTCAAAATCTACAGTCTTTAAATTATCTTTATTTTTTCAAATTAGTACAATATTCAATTAAGACATAAAATAACATAACAAACAACTTATTAACCTATAACCTTATAACCTAATTCCTGCATGGACTCTAACTTTCATTTTGTGGTATTTTTTCATATAATGGTACCTTTAAGAATATAGATTGTAGAGACACTATTTCCATGTTGAATCTTTGATTCCCAGCTGGTGAGGATGAGGATGTTCTAAAAGCACAACTAAAATACGAATGACCAAGATGGATGTTAGACACTGTGTCTTAACATTTCCTCTGCTGCTAGCCTTTCTGATGCAAAGTATTTTTTCCAAGATCAGCGGAAAGAATTCAACTAAGATTAGATTAATCACACAAAACTTGATAATTTAAAAGCTTACCCTTAGCTGTCGAATGCCACAAGTTTCCATTGGTAGCAACACTGAGAAGGAATAGAGACACCATAACATTCAACGTCTGTTTTTTTTGTTCAGCTCATAGTTCCTTTTATTACAGGGTCCAAATAAGGACAGTCCCATTCCTCTCACTTGGCTCTTAGAACACTCCAGCAAGTTCCCTCCACAGTGAAGTCCATTCAATGAGCGAAGTGCAAGTCAACATTTTCTCCCTAAGAAATGGGACACCACTAGTTGCAAAATTACATGCCAGCCCAGTAGATGGCGGTAATACATTGCCTGTACACATCAGTGGCATGTTCATCTAAAACACGACGTGAGTCACAACCTTTGCTGAATGAGTTCTGGGAAGCTACTACATTCCAAGTCAGCACTTGACCACCCTTGGTCCAAAGGGGTCATTTTAAGGGTTGCTAACTTCCCCTAGTTCTTAAAATCATAGGGAAACACGTGAATGCGCAAAACCGGGTGCTAGGGCCCAAAACGATTGCAAGTTATAGAAATGAGACAGGACCAAAGTCTGTTTCCAATAACTATTTGGTTTTTTCTTCCATCTGATGGTCAGAGATGTGGTTAGAGCTTCTTAATCCGGGGCAAGAACCAGTTGGTTCCTGCCTACAGTTTTACTCACTTATGGAGCCGTGACCGAAAACCCCTTTAGAAAGACCGCTCTGATAATGGACGGCAGTCTGATTTAGCTCAGCCTATTATACTCTCTGTTATCCCTTCAAGTAAACAATAATAAACTTGTACATCAATTCTCTGACAGAATATCATTGTTAATATACTGCCATGGCAATAATTTTTATGTGTAACAAAACTAGAAAGCAACTTACTAATGAGAATTTTTCATTAAAAAAAAATAAAAATGCTTGGCTACCATAAGATATGTTGAAAGGCAAAAAAGGTAAATTCATCAAATGTGTCTAACAAATTGTGAAACAACTCTCTCCCCTTGCTAAGATTTTTGCAATCATATAGATCTGTGTGTTTGTGTCTTTTTATGACAGTAAAATAGTGCAGCTGAAGGAGCTGCAGGATGCCAACAGCAGTTTGACAGAGGAGCTGAGGAAACTTCACAGAACTCATCAGGCGGAGGTGAGATAAGAATAGTGAAAGTCTTTTTCATTGGAAGCAAAAAAAATAAGAGAAATTAATTTGGTTGTAAAATCCAGAACTTTGCTGTTCTTCACACTGAGTTTAAGTATACTTTATTACATGAATTATGACTTTTTTTGACAAAGGATGTTTAAGATTTGTGTAAAGGGGCTGTAATACCATTTTACTCCAACAGATGTCAGAATAGGGACACGTGTTGCAACAGTTCAGTTGGTCCTTTTCTCAATAAAACAACAAGAACAGATCTTACACGGTTTTACTGTTAATTTGGACTCTTTTTTTTCTCCACAAGCAGCTTTTAGATGTAAAATAATTACAATGAAACAAATATGATCTGAGTCAAATTTAAACCACAGACACATTCTTTAAACTGTCAAGACCTAACTGGTGTTAGGTTTTCTTTAGTTCATCTGTGTTATGGAAAACCATGTGGATTTATTGTCTTTATTACTTACTGTGAGCTTCAAAGTTTAACCGCCATGCTGGCCTCGGCTTTAACCAGTCCATCAAGCAGCTAAAATCAGGTTATACAATTAAATTTCCTCTGAGACGTCGGCATATGGCCAGAGGAAAGGCGGAGCAGACCACAACATCAGTGAAAACTTAATGAGACGATTTATTAGCAGGAGATCAAGCCAGGAAGTTATTGCAAAAGGCCTGGGAATTGAAGATTGTGTCACACTCCTCCGTTTTCCCACTCATCTTTCTACATGAAAAGTCTTTCCTGTAATCTATATTTGCATTCTACAATCACTGCTTCCTGAGTTTGTTGTCGCTGTCACATCCTGGTATTAGGGCAAATAAAGTGATGACACCTGTCTGTTTATTATTCATTTCTGTTTAAGGTGAAAGAACTGCAGCAGGAAAATAAGGGAAGCCTGAGTAAACTACAAGAGACAGCAGATCAATTTGAGTGGCTTTGTCAGCAACAGAAGTACTGGATGCGCTGTGTCAAAAGGTGGGATTGTATACAGGAACTACACAAGGACGTCCATACAGCCAAACCCTGGATTCACAGATTATTTTAATTCATATTTCTAAGACAAGATGCTAAAAATCTTATATCAGTTTATGAATATATCTATCTAAAGAAGTCAAATTTAAAAATAAACCATTATCAGATTACTTCAACTACAGTATAGAAAAAAAATGCTTCAGTGTTCATTTGTTTATAGAAACATTGTGAAAGTTAGCTCTAGCTTATACATGTTAATCACTTTTTTAGGTAAAATTCAGCACTTGCCTTGTATCAATGCCCGTTGTGGGCAAAAATGCTTTATGGAAGCCTGAGTTCCCCTCACACACAAAAGAAAACTAAGCTAAATACTGCTGTCATTTAACAAAACAGATAAGACCCTTACCTGATCAGATATATTTGCTACCCTGGTGTGGGATTTACTATAGAGGTATGAATGATTCCTTGTCCTTACAAGGAACTCTATGAGTTCTCAATCCTGGGTCTGCTATCAGATTGTAAGGATGTTTCCAAATCGTGCAAATCGGTAAGGACGGCTTATTTATAGATCACCATTTCACAACAGGTCATCTTAAGGCACAGAAGCAATACAGTGAAATTGGTTAAACGTTTCTATCAAGGAAAACCAGCTGAATGCATCGAGTCATCGACTTCCAGGGTGTCCCCGATCAATGCAGCGACCACAGAGAGCTGACAGGAGACTGATCCAGGTCAGAACAGGGCAGATCCAGGAGTCATCATCTTGAACAGGAGTTCCAATCCACACAGGAGCAAACAGAAAGGGGGTTCCAGGAATGCACTGAGTGTTCAGGCTGGTTCAGAGTTCTAGAGAGTCCAGTAATGTGTTCACACAGATATGCTGAGTTACAGACAGGCGGACCGAGATGCAGATAGGCAGGCACAGAGGTTAAGCGACAGAGACAAGACATGGTACCGGGATTTCAGCAGGAAATCTTTAAACTGGTCTCATCCTAGGATCCAGCCTTATGGGAATACAACTGAAGCTCTCTGCGTTTCGAGCCAAAACCCTGAGGGCTCCGCAGAAAAGGACCAGGTCACGATCAGGAGACAAGACAAACACAAAAACCCTCTCAATCCTCTGCCCGCCAGGAACCAGGACATGAACCATGGAATAAACTAAACTACCAAAACAGACAGACTAGCAGTCATAAACAAACAGACAGCAAACAAGCAATGATCTGCCTCGGGAGCTGGGCTGGACCGAATATAAAGGAACAGATGCAGGTGGATGAGATGGGTAATAATTAGAGACTAGGCACAGTTAGGCAGATGAGAGCACTGGCGTAACTTTCTAAAGGACTGGTGTGGACATGTCCCCACCAACTTAGGCATGAAGGGGACAGTCCCCACCAATAATTTCCGTTTTTGTTCCCCTTTCTGCTAATTTAATTTATCCAACAGTAACTGGGGTTGGGTGCTGCTGTCTGTGTTCAGAGCGTTTTCAGTCCATGTTTTTTCCTCGCTCTCCCGCTGCTCTCCAGTCCCACCTCTCAGTAAACTTCATCGGATTCGTCGCTTTGGGACATAATAATATTTTTGGTCGCTATTGACTGCGTACAGAGTAGGAAGAGGGGAGGGAGGAGGAGAGACACAGCAGCAGCACTCTGTGAACTTTAACTGGAATCTACTTCGATATATGTTGAAGTAAAATTTAGGAGATGGGTTGGTTAAAAAAAAATTAGAGATTCCATCGAAAAATTTGTTTGTTACACATACGGAGCTTTTTTAGCTAAAAATGGCAACAGAGTGTACATTTATATAAGTAAAAAATAAAAAGCTGGGCTTCTCAGACGAACATTACCCAGATTTACAGATTAAAATTAACACATGTCTATTGTTTTCTTATTGAACAGAGAATCAGACAGCAGAGCTTCTAGAAATCCTGAAAATGATTTTCTCTGGCATAATTATATTGGTAGACAGGTTCATAAATCTGATTTTAAACAGAGCAGACACACAATTAGCGACAGCTGCTGATTTAAAGGTGAAACAGATTTACTGGGATATGCAACATGCAATAAAATATATCTCCAAGTTTAAAAGAAAAAAATATGCTATACTATAATAAAATTCAACTGATCTTTTTATCTTTTGTAAGTCAGCAATATTTAGAAATAGCTGTGCCAGCCAACCCATTGACAGCCAGACTCACAGGACATAGACTTAATTAAAATATAAGAAACATACAAGAATTAAAGCACATATAATAAAAATCAGTGTATAAATGATTTTTGAAATATAAGGTTCAATATATAAGTATATATAAGTCTGGTGTGCTATTGCTTGGTTGGAAAGAAAACCTGCAGCAACACTGCCCTTTCTGGAACCAGTTTGACAACCCTGCCTTAGAGTGTCCCCACCAACTTTTATCATTAAGTTACACCCTTGAATGAGTGAAATAAAGAATTAAGGCCAGCTCATGACACCCATGCCAGACGGTGAAAGAGAGCACATAGTTAGTCACAGTCAGAGAAACAGGGCAACACTGAAAAACAGGCAGAGCTCAAACATCTATAAACAGTGATGTTGATAGCAGCAATTATTGTTTTCTGCTTAAACTTTCCATTAACATTTTCAAAAACCCAGTGAGTTTCTAATTTAAATCACAAAGCTAATCTCTTTATAGTTGATTTATTTTACTTTGTTGCATAATTTAACATTACTATAAGCGCATTTTAAATGGTCATTTATTCAAATGATTTCTTTCCACTGAAGATTGGTGGAATTTTGTTTCTTATGCTGCAGGTTCAAAGACTGTCTGATAGAAGAGAGACAGACTCTGCTGCATCAGGTCAGCATGTTGGAAAAGAAAATTGGGGAACAGAAGAAGAATTCGACTGATATCAGTCCAGAACAAAGCCTCTTGTGCCCTCTAGTGGATAAGGAGATGTACAACAGGTGGGTGACATAAAAACAACAACAATCAAAAAAAGAAACAAACAAAAAGGAAAGAAACACCAACCCAGATTCCTTATACCATGTGTAAACATTTTTTTTCTTCAGTATAACATCACTGGCTGCAGATGCAGTGACAGACCTTGGGTCTCAGGAAGAGAGGTCAGAAATGTTGCAACCCTTCGCACAGGTAAATTGTTCACATCTTTGAAAGTGAAATGCTCCTGCTGTCTTAACAATAATCTTCTTAATATGTGAAGAAAAGCTGATTTATCCTCTGTTTCCATTAATTTTGTCACATGGTATTATCTTAAAAACCCCAATATATGTTAAGGTTTTTCAATAAATATAGATTTTAATTACACATTTCACATTTGTAGGTAGTGAACTAGTGTTGTTGAGAAGCTAAATTGTTAACCTCAACTCTGATTTAACTTAAAATTATCATGTGGAGCGACCAACAATCATTTGGTGTGACCATTGCAGAGAGCTTTCCATGATAGATATAGGTCCTAAATATTTATAGTTATCATGTTATTTGATTTGTGATTTCTATAAATTACTACTACTTTAAGTTATTTTGGAATCATTGAATGTTTTGTTTGTTTTTGCCAAATTCCCTTTTTTCCCCAAATATTTTGTTTACAGATGGCATAATTTATTCACAATACCAGACAATATAAAAATAGATATTACTATGGGCATGTAATGGCATCAACTAATTGGTTATAGGTATTTATACATTTATCACATTTTAATAATGACCCACTTCTAGTTTTACAGGTTTGAGCAATTACAGGGTTTTCACATTTAGAAATTATCCTGGCAACCCTCAAAAGATCTTCACAGAGGCAAAGATAAAGAAAGAAATGACTGTATGACAGGGCTGCACACTGGGGCAGTGGGTAACACTGCTACTTTGCAGTGAGAAGGTTTGAAGTTTGATTCCCTGCCCGGGGTCTTTCAGCATGGAGATGGTATGTTCTCCCTGTGCATGAATTGGTTTCTCTGGCCTCTCTGGAGTCCCGTCCCACAGTCCAAAAATATGACTCATAGGTTATTTGGCATTTTTAAATTCTCCTGAGGTGTGAGTGTGGGCGTGAATGATTGTTTTGATGTATATATTCAACTTGTAACTCATGTAACTTTCCTGCAGAGGTGGATCATCATGGTCCAGAAAGTGAAATACCTGCCAATGAGCATCAAGCAGCCAAGGTTCACGACACCCCGGCCCAACCCTGCTCTATAGATCCTATGAAAGGCTAAGACTCACTAGAAGTGACGTCTTCTTGTGTGATATCCAATCTCTCACGTTGCTTCAAAGCACAGAGGCTATTTGGGATTTTGCATAGAGACTGACAGGAAGCGTCCTGCTGTTCCAGAGCATAGGGGAGATTGCGTCTGAGAGCAGAATAAACAGCTGATTAATATCTTAGCTCAAATTTAATGCCTTTTAATGTCTGCATTTCTGAGGTTTATGCATGTTGCATATTTATGCATAGTGCATATTGGAACAGTTATTTAATTAACTTTACAGGGAATGGTGTTAAAATATTTATTTTCATCACTGCATCTCCAGGATTTTGGGACACCAAAGCAAACCTTGGCTGTGTCCGGACGTCCGCCCTAACCCCTAAATTCTAGCCTGGGTGCCATTCCGAACTTAGTCCCGCCCACAACGTTTGAGGTCGGGAAGTTTGGTCTGGCATTGCTCAGTAGTAGTGTGAGTATGCTCGCACAATATCTGGCGGGCCAATCAAATTGTCAGGGCGGGCTTTATTCAATGATGGACAGATGATCAACAGTAACGTAATCAACCACGTCACCAAAGCGCCCTTGGGTGACAACAACAATGGCTGCCACTGGAGAGTTGAGGTGTGTAGATACTGCTATTAGGTCTGTTCTAGAAGATATCGACAGCAAATTCATTTTAAAAGAGGAACAGAGAAACGCGATCAAGGCTCATCTTATTATAGGCGTGCAACTGCACACTTTGATTTTTGTTGACAACAACTGTGCCTCGCTTAACATACGTCACGCACTCCGTTGCTCTTATTGGTTATAGGTCTATCCAATTGAGTGCAGAGGCATTTTTTTTCCTGGTTCGTTCGAAACACGCCCCATAATCACAGTTCTATGGAGCAGTATCAGACTCATATTCTGACTAGAATTGAGTCGGACTATGTCAGGCTACCTAAATTCCTCAATCACTATATAAAGTGGGGACTATTTGGTAGACTTTATAGTGAACCCAGATAACTTGTTGTTTGAACAGATCATCAATACTTTTTGCTCCCTGTAGCTGTAGGTCACTTAACTCCGCCTCCCTGCACGGTGGCTGCACCATCTTTATTTTTTGTTTCTGCTACAACAAATCACATGATGCTTTCTGAGGAGAACTCTTGCAAGCAATCTGGGATATATCTGCTGGTCTAGTAAGCATGGATGACCACTACTTTTCAAGATGCACTGTGGGAAATTTTGAGTCCCCTACTTTTTCATCCACTAGATGTTTGGACACTCATCTAATCATTACATAGTGCCCTATATAGTGATTAGGGCGGACTTTCATACACTGCCCTTGCTATTGTTTTGGCTCCTTGCTGGCCCCAGGGATCGGAGGTCAACTTATTATCTGTGCAAGTGAAACACATTTAAAGGAAAAAATAATTGCTTAAAAGTGATAGCTGCTAGTTTAACTCCTCCTGGCTAGTAGAATTGTCTCTTAGTTCCTTTGCATCCTTCATCTGGTTTTTGTTTTTGGCTTGAATCTGAAAAAATGGCAAGAATAGGCAATTTCTCTGCTTTCTCATGGAGCTTTTAGGATGTAGCAAGTCCTAATCCCCATTAAAAGTGACTTCAATCTGTTATTTCCATTGGTGCAGAATCGTTTTGTGTTGACATTGCACCATAACAAGAAGTAAATATTTGTATGTGTTTTGAAATCATCAAAATGTATGAAACAGATATTTATATACCGTACTTAATTTGTTTTCAGTAAAATTGCTGCACCATTCCAGATATTCTGTGGATGTATTAATATTAAGTAAATTGTATAAAGTAAATTGTAGCTATGATTTCTTTATGATTTCTTTTTTAGTGACTCGCTAGGTCATCCATATGGTAAATCTATAATAATAAGGTGATGAAAAAAATAAGACCCACAACTGAGAACATTTAAATAGTCGATTTCCTCTTATAAACGTTTTAGCCATTTTAGCCATCAACAAGCAGACTCTGAGGAAACTCATCTGACCTGTATGCACTCAAAAGAAAACTAAAGCAAAACAAACATTATTTCCACAGAATATGCAACTATCAATTTGTTTTTTATGAAGAACATGAAGCAGCTTTTCGTCATTACAAAAGAATACTTTCAGCGGTCAGCTTAATCTTTCCAGATCTTTCAGATTAGTTAAAATTTCAGAGTTGAACCATGAATTTATAACGTAATCTTTATCTGATGGTGACTTCCAGTCCCCTGTGGACTTGTAGTTCCGCCAGAACACTCTTAAAATGAAAACTTAATGGGCACCAGAGTCAAATGACTATTTTATAATTTTTTTTCCTGTTTGTCCAATGCTCGCTTTAAAATGTTTGAAGGCTGAGTTTAAAAGCTGTTTTGCAATCAAGCCGGAAACCCCACAAAGTCCCAAAACTCTTCCAGAAAGCTTCTACAGATCCTGAGAGGACCTCAAACACTTCATCCTACTGCAGAGTTTTATGTTGAAAGGTGTTTGCTGGCTGCTCTAGGGATTATATAATAAAAGCCACCCTGTCTCCTTATGACGTGTTCAGTGTTTTAAACATTTGGGATGAGAGGAAGCCTCTAAGAGTGAACAGAAGGCTAATACTCCTTTGTTGACTGCTGTCTGTCCCTTTGGAGGCTGTTGGGCTTCCAGAAATGTCAGAGACGGCTAATTCTCCCTTGGCATCGGAGTCTCGTTGTGCCTTCTCTCTGTCTGTCTGCTGCCTGCACAGGGCCTCCTACCAATCAGCTTCCAAGGCAGCACAGAGATGACTAATAATGACTGGAGGAGGTGCTCGCCAAAAGCCTCTGTGCTTCATTCCCCTCACCTCGCTCAGGCTCTGCACTGCATTTCTTGGGATAATTATTCTGATTGAGAGCAGATGATGCAGACTGTTTTTTTCCCCCTTCGATCCCTGCAGAGCTGAGAGAGGGCGGAAATTTCTCTGGAGGAGCAGGGACTGTCAGAAATATGGAGGAAACAGCCACGATAAAACACATTACCAGCTCTGACATGATTTATGGAAACCGCAGATTCACATTGTCTGGACACGACTGAAGCCCCGTTCAGACACTGGCTGCTTTACATTAACTTATTAACAGCTGAAGTTGTTGGGGTCGTGTTTGAATTACCCCCTGGAGCTTTTCCATAAAATCCAGGCCTGAGCCACATGCAAACACTCCAATTTCTGGTTCCTTAAAGTGAATATTGTTAAAAAAAATACAACCAGGCTGAAGAATGCTGTTAACTCCATCTTTGGCAGCTATGAAAGGACTGATGTTTTTGGTTAGTAGTGCCAGATTGTGTAATGCCATCTCTGAGGTTTGTTGTGACAATATTTGCTTGTCTGGCATGCATGGATCTCGACTGTGTCTGAGAACTGTTAGGGAGACAGATTTGTTTTGAAGGATAACCTGTTTTTTTCATATAAAATCCTTCTGAAATTGTATTTTATTCGTGTTTTATTATTTTTTGGGGACATTCTTACCCCTTTTCATTCCCCTTTATTGTGAGGATACCCATGGGAACTTGACTAGTGTGTATGTTCATTCATGTGGATGTAGTGTTAGCTACATTAGCAGTTTGCCATCATTTCCCGGTCTATTACATAATAGTTAATAATGGAAGCAGCAACACTCACCAACTATTTGCAGTTGAGTCATTGATTGCTGGAATTTCCCCGTTCGGTGGAATAAAAACGGGACTAAAGAAAGCATGGTGAGTTAAAGTTAGCATCCTATGAATGAGGTTAATCAAGGAGCAGGACCAAAATTATGCTTTGTTAAAAGCTTCACTCTTGTGGGCTTTTCTGGCTTGAACAAGAAGACCACACAAAAAAACCAAGCTACTTTCCTAGTGGATTGTCCGGTAAGTTTTAACTGAAGCCCAACACCAAACAGGACAGGTGTGATTAATCATATTTTATCTGGGTTTTCAATAATCATAAAAATTAAATGGTCAATTATCATTAGCCAAATTGTACACTAAAGTGCCCTCTTAGGAGCCAAACTATGCACTAGAGTATCCTCTTAGGAGCCAAAACACATGGAAATGTGCCCTCTTGGGAGCCAAACTTTGCACTAAAGTTTCATTTTAGGAGCCAAAATGTGTGCTAATGTGCCATATTGTGAGCTTAAATGTACTAAAGTGTCCTCTCAGGAGTCAAACTACTCATAAAAGTACTCTCTTAGGAGCCAAAATGTGTGTAAAAGTGCCCACTTGTGAGCTTAAATATGCTAAAGTGTCCTCTCAGGAACCAAACTGCTCATGAAAGTGAGCTAGTGAGTTAAAATGTACTAAAGTGCCCTCTTAGGATCCAAAATGGACGTCAAAGTGCGAGAGAAAGTGCCCTCTCAGGAACAAAAAGCTATGTCGTGCCCTCTACATTGATGATGATGCGCCATATATGCCTTTTTATTTTTTTTCCACCCCTAAAAAGTTTGTGCAGGTCCCTGGTCAAATGTGATCTGGCAGTGCTCATTCACACTGTTAACATGTTGGTCAGATGGCTCTAGTGGCTCACTACTTAACTAAGTAGTTATTTTTTAAATATAAACTATAATATCAAAGCAAATAATTACTAGTTAAACTAACTACACAGTCACATTTAATGATCTAGATAACTAAAGAGTTAGATAACCAAACTGTTACTGGAACTTAAAATACATCTAAAAGTTTAAAAATATAAGATTTTTTAAATTAAAAAAGCAATTAAGGGGACCACATCTCTTAAACATTGTATACTAATCTGAAACATTTTGGGTGTGTTGTTGGACAAGTGAGAAGCAATATATTTATGTAGATATGATCATGTTCTTTGTTTTGAATACAATTGTCATAAAGCAGAACAGAAGGAGCCAGTATTCAAGGCAAGACAGACAGTGGGATAAGTCAAAGCGAGTTGGCTGTGGATTTGCGGTATCAGCTGCTAGGGCATTTATCACTGAAGCTCTGATCGAAAGAAACACAGGTTGTGACCATGATAATCTGAAAAAGGATGAATATGCATTTGAGTCACTGACCTGGTTTACCAGTTCGTTCCATTGCCATAGAACGAGGTAGGATCCAGCTGACAGGATGCCATGGGTGTCGCCTAGAGTGTCCCAGATACTACAGCCCTGGAGAATATGCAGGAGCCCACAACGAGGTCAGGGAAACAGATCAGAACAGGAAGGCTCAGGGGTCAAGGAGTCCCACACCAGGTCAGAAGACAAACAGGCTGGTTTAGCAGGTCCAGGAGTCGAAAAATAGTTCAGGCAACCCGTTCAGAGGGGAAGAGACAGACTCAGTGAGTCAGAGGCAGAACAGGTCAGGATCAGGAAATCAGAAAAACAATGGTACACTAAAACCACTCTCTCCACTGAGATCAGACAGCAACAGCATGCTCAGTGGATGAGAGGCAGAACAGGTCAGGAGCATGAAATCAGAAACAATAAGGTACGCTAAAAACCCCTCTCATAACTGGTCAGCGAGAAGAAGAAGTAGAACAGTAATCTGGCGCTGATAGCTGGATAAAAGTACCTTGAATAGAGACAGGAGCAGGTGGATCAGATGAGTGGTAATGAGCAACCGGGCAGAGTTAGACAGGTGAATTGAATGAGCAATTAAGCCAGCCATCAGTGCCAAGATCAAAACAAAAATAGCACACATTTTTGCACATTGATAGCCTTCAGCTGACTTTAAAATAGGTATGAAGCTAAAAAATAAAGCTTTCTAGGAAACTTAAAGAAATAAAATATTCTCTACAATATAATTAAACAGGTTTTATGGTATTCCTGGGGGGAAAAAAGTGGTACTTTTTATTATGAGTGCTGTCATTGAATCCATAGCTCTACTCCATTGTCTCTCCTCCCAGTCTCTGTTCAAATCATGATGACCGCCTGCCCATTTCAGCCAATCAGCATCATGAATGAGCATCTAGCATCACTGCAGCACAGAGAGCAGCGCTTCCGAAAAGTCACGTTGATTGAGTTGTAGTAACATGCAGCATTAAACTGAGAGTAATGTAAGGGAGTTACCAATTTTTCAAAAGTAATTAATTAATGTCTTTTTTCAATAAAGGACTAACAAAGATGCTAAAACTGTTATTAAGTAACTCCAAATGCTGGTTGCCACACATCTTTAGACCCCCGCAGTGCTAAACAGCACACCTAATTCACACATTGCACTATTAAAGAAGGGTTAGGTTATGAAACAATATCCTGAGCTCTAACAATCCAGTGAAGTGTATTCAATTCATCATCTGAAAATAAAAAGACTTTGGCACAAATACAAATCTACCAACAGATGTTCATTGATTCTAAACTGGATTCATGTAATATTAGAAGTAATCAAAGAAGGACATGATCACTTTTGATCTGCAGTTAAAAGATCTTGCCCACATGAAAAAAAAGGCAAAAGAAAACTTTTTTTGAAAGAACACCAAGAAATCTGACAAGAAGTAAACTTGTGGAAGAAAGTGTCTGATCAGATGAAGCCAAAAAGTCACCCTGACCATTGCATCTCTGTGCTGCAGCTTCTTGCATTTCTTCAGCTCTTTTACAATCTGTTGCAAGACCTTGTTTTTAAAGATCCTCTGTCCAATCTATGTGACCTTAATACATTTTTCTAGATTTTCTTTTATTCTCTTTCTCTAGCAATAGTTGCAGCTACTGTAAGGGTAAAAGGTGATAATATGTATTCAATCAACACCTAATGACACTTTCCACATAATGACAGATGAAAACCATGTCTCAATTTTCCTGCCAATGTCTACTCATAAACAACAAAAAAGAGACACTCTCAAATTTAGTATCTTTGATTTCCCTTTGGGAATAAGATAATATTTTTGAATTTAATTTTAATAGTACATGTTCATGTTCATTTTGTTGGTCTGTTTTATAAAATGCCTATAATATTTATTGAAACTGGCAGTTTAAATGTCAAAATGTGACGGACTTCAAGGTGAATTAACTCTTTTGCAAGTTGTTGTTCCTTAATGGGATTTTAAGGCATAATTTTAATAAATAAACAAAAAGACAAAAAAAAAAACACAATCTGTTCTTATGTTGTTTTATAGTTCCTTGGATTTCTTTAACATCGGAAATCTGGTCTGAAGATTTGTAGTACTAAACCATGTTGATTTAACCCCTCCACCACTCCTATGAGTAGTTTATCACTGTTTTCTTTATTTCATAGATCTCATGGTCTCTTTTCTACATCCAGGTGGTCTGAAGCCTATCTTCTCTGTGAGATATCACTTTAAACGCCAGAATAGAAAGACCTGAATTAGTCTTAATTTCCAGTTTAAACAGTGACTCTACATTAATCATTTTATTTGAGTTTATCTGACCAGAACAGTTTTCCTGGAGGATCTTTATCAATAGAACTAACACATCTCCTGCTAATTGCCTTTTGTCATCCTAACTCAAAGTTTATTTTTCTGTCTGCAGGCAGGGAGCCCTATCAGCAGATATCAGAAACCTCCATGAGAACTTCAGTGAGACGGCCTCTGCACTTGTCTGATTGTTTCCCACCTTCAGCAAACCTGAAGTTTACCTACTAGAAGTTTGTGTGTCTGGCCTTGAGGGCTGCCTTCCAGCCTTTGTTTTGAAGAAACCAAACAAGGCATGGAAAAACATAACCTGCAAAACCACACATTCATTGTTTTCCCTCCACTATTGTTCAGTGATTTATGGTTGAGTAAAAGAACAAACAAACAAACAAAAAAAAAACATAAATAAAACCCATTTATTGAGCTCCTGCCCCCCCCCCCCTTTTTTTTTTTAACTTACTTTTGTCCCATATGCGCATCACATGTGCCTACATTTGTCTGGTCTCATTTTTCCAGTAATTGTCCATTTTTCAGAACCTTGTAATCAGCGCTGCTAATAAGTGCACCTGAGAATGTTCTCTTTTGTTGTTTGGCCCATAAATCCTCAGCTGGCGCACAGAGGAAACAAACAAACATGTTGTTTTCACCACAGTAAAGCTCCACCACTGTTTCATCACTGGTTTGGGACAGTTTTTCCTTCTCCCTGTCACTCGGGTTCCTCTTGTGGGCAATTATCAGAAACTCTGTAAAGTAATCTGGTGCAGAGCAGCAGCAACTCATGTGTGAACCATATGATGAGCAAATGATGTCAAAGAGAAAACCCTGTTCAAGAGAAAAAAAATGTTGTTTCTCATCTGCCTCTAAGAAAGTGATCAAGCTTTGCCATGTGTAGCGTTACTTGTATTTTTAACGGGTTTTTCATTTCTGTAAACATATGGACCTAAACATCCTCTGAATTGGACAAGTGTAAGAATAAAAACTCTATGAGCCCAAATGAAACAAATAAGATACTTCTCTTCTTTTGCTTTGTTTTACAGAAAAATGAAAACATGTTTACTTCCTACTTTTGCGTGCTTGATTACTGCAAGGTTCTCTGCAACTTTTCCATCATTGTTGGCATCCCTGGTCAAGAGGATGCAAAAAATATCAAATTAAATCAGCCATTTATATATATATATATATATATACATCAGTAGCATAATGTAACTTTTAAATTCATTAGAAATATTCCTAATCATTAAAATATAAATGAAGAAATAATTCCTCTATTTTTAAGGAAATTATCCCTGACATTCCTTTTAAAATAGATTAGGTCTGACCATTTTATATATTTACACTTTGCCTAAATTTTTACTTATTAGGACTGTCTATGAACTTTTAATTACTAACCAATAAATACTGTATGTGTCACCAAGGTTAATTTCTTTTTAAACATTCTCTAATATGGGACGGACAGGATAATGTGACATTCAAGTGATATCATCAACTGCAAAGTATGGTTTTCTCAAATTTGGGCAACAGTAAGCTTTTTGGCAATGGTTCTGGAAACAGTGACTCTTCATGCTCATTGTTAGGTATGGTTGAAGAACTGTGATGATGTGGGCCTGTTTCTCTTCCAAAAATGTTTAAAACATTTTCTCTCTGTGTGTTCTCTCAATTTTTCAATTCAAAGCAGTTTATTCTTATAGAGCAGCCCACTGATACCCAATTGGATGGGTTAAATGCAGACAAAAAATTATCCAGTGTGAGATCAATAAAGTTAAATTATTATTATTATATACTGGCAATTTACAAAATACGTTCTCTCAAGGCACCTTACAGAGACAATTTAAATCAATCCTACAGACAAATTGGTTAAATGTAATCTGGCATAAGCAAGATTTATATGTGTCGTTCAATTTTAATTCTACACAGTAGCCATCTGTAAAAGGTTCCTGTGGAAAAGGTTTGCAAAAGGGAGGGACATTTAGTACAATCTTCAAGCTGATTGGGTAAATTCCCAAGTGGCAGCCTCCCGACTTGTTGACGCTATGACGTCATGTACACCATTGCATTTTACTGGTCTGCAACATTTCTGTATTGAGGCTAAGGCATCTGTTGGCTTCTTGCAAGATGGATTTTCAGGAGTTTGGGAATCCACAAATGTTGTAACAGTTTATCTTGCTTGCAAGGTAAGGTTAAAAGTCTTCTATCAAACAAAACCCAGCTGACTGCATCCAGTCATTTAGTTAGCAATGACCTAGCAGGATAAGACATTGCATTTTGTCGTTGACTCTGCAAATCGCTTAAACCAAGCATGCATACATACATTGGAGAGGGAAAAACTACCTTTAAAAACCAATAAACCTCCAGCAGAACCCGGCTCAGTGTGACATAGCTGTTGACACAAACTAATATTCTTTACTCTTTCAGCTTATAACATATCATATAATTATTTGATATATGGTAAACAACAAAATGAATGTCAACAGAAAATGTATCTTTAATGTATTATCAAAAACTTAAAGTCCTCCCAGCCAGTAAGTGGCACACTTGTGCTCACCTGCTCTCCTTCTATACTGCTTACACGCCAGTTCTGCTAATGCTCATAGTTATTCCAAAAAAAAAAAAAAAACAATCCATTGGACTTTGTTTCCAAGTTTGGAGACGTTTTGCTTTCAAATTAAGGAAGCTTTCACAATTCATTCAATCCATATGTTGCTGTAGTCTCTGTAAAAGTCAACAGGATTTTCTCCAAACACAAAATCCCAGTACATTTCGAACCAAACAAGACCCTTAATCAGAGACTAGTGCGTCCTAAAGATAATATGGCCAGACCAAATAGGAGCGAAGTAGTGTATGCAGTTCATTGCAGTGAGAAATGCTCTGATCTTTATATTGGAGAAACGAAACAACCTCTCCACAGATGCATGGCCCAACACAGAAGAGCTACTGTACGTCCTCCAGACAAGACTCGGCAGTACATCTACACCTTATAGACAAAGGATATTCTTTTGAGGACCAAAATTTTCACATTTTCGACAAAGGAGTGGTGGTTTGAGAGGGGTGTGAAAGAAGCCATCTTTGTTAAGAAATAAAAAAACAACCTTAAACAGACGGACTCAGGTTTCAGCTTTCAAAAACCTACAATGCAGCGATAGAGCTGATTCCTTCCCGCTATAATTGCAACCCCAACACCCATACAGGGGACCAGAACATCTCGCTTGTTCAGCAGGGCCAACAATTCCCCCTAACGACGACCTTACAGAGGCATAGACCAGTATCGGGTCTTGCAGGCAGACAAAGAACCCAAACGATTCCCCATTCCTAAGGGGCGGACACGTTCAGTTCTATTCGATTCAACTATCATGTTTTATATGCAAAAACAAGACTTTGTTTAAGATCCACTGTATAAAGCCTCAAACTCAATGCTAATTCTCAAATTTGGAATTGAAAAGACTTCCTGGATGGGAAGCGAAACGTCTTCAAACTTGGAAACAAAGTCCAGTGGATTTTTTTGTTTTTTTTACTTTTTTGGAATAACCAAACTAAACAGTTAACTTACCCAATTAGAAAAAAAAAGCAGCAACCTCCACATGAAGGAGGTTTAAACTCAGCCCCTTTCTGTCATTAAGTCAGCACCAACAGTTAAAAGCTTGGCTGATGTTCACTCTTGTTTTGTTTCTTTTTGAAGAAGTCATTTCTCAGCTCTTTTACAGAGCTATTAGGATCTGGCAACGCCTGAGCTCTGTTCCACATGACTTTAATCTACTATTCGTATTTGAGCAGAATCGTTTTATGTTGAAGTTGACATCATAACCAGATGTCAACAATTCAAATGTCATAACCAGAATTAAATATTTATATTTTTTGGACCTGTTCATTTCTAAAATAATTCTTCATTAACAGTTTTTTTCAGTAAAGTAAATAATTTCAATGTGCACAATTCTAGATTTTCTGTTGATGTAATATTTTTGAAAAATGAATCTTTTTGATAAATAAGTTGTAGCTATGATTCTTAAGCTCATGCTGTGTTTTCAAACACTTGTGAATAGAATATCATCCTCTTGATCTTTCTGATTTCTTTTTTTCCCCTTTGATAAGAAAGCTGCATGTTTAATTGTATTTAATATGTGGCAGTATCTGTATTTGGTTTCCAAATAGCATAAATATGCCCTAAGAGTCTGATAACACTCATTGTGAGAAAACAGGAGTAAGCACACTACGGCTCAAGGTTTGCAGACTCTATAGCTTGTCTGGTCTGGAAGGTGTGCCCCCGGATCTTTGGTAGCACCCCCTGACCACAGGGGACATCGGTGGCACCGGCAGCAGCGCGCCCTCTGACTGCAAAGTGCTTAAACAGTCTGACCCAAATGGGCTGTGAAGGTCTGAGGTGTAGCAGGAGATTAACAACGTGTGCTGGCTGGAAACAGTTCGTGTTTGCACACAGTAAATACTATCGCTCCCTTTGCCACAGAACGAGACTCAGACATTATAGGTGTTATTAATAGAATGATTATGGTACTGCAAGAATAGCATGTTTATGTCCCGGCTTCGTCACAGCCAGGGAAAACACGTTACCGACATTTAACACCAGGATATACCCATAAAAAAGGGAGACTTGTTAAAGTGGTGACTAGCAGACACGTCTGTCCACTTGCTTGTATAAACATGGATTATGTGGTGCAACCTTAGGCACTCCAGATTTTACTGTATGTTGACTGTAAGAAAATCAAATGAGCTTGTCATGGGTTCAGTTACTGGGAATAGAAATAAAAAAAGGTATAAGTTTAATCACATTTAGAGAAAATGTTCTCCTCTACACCACAAGTTATTGGCTTGGATTTTGAATCAATAGACAAAATGTTTACAGAAGTGTATTTCAAATTAAATTCAATTAAATTAAAATTGTCATTATTAAAGGAAAAAAAATAGAAAGCTTCTCCAAATTCAGTGCAAACAGATCAAAGATTGCTACCATCTTGATTAGATGAATCTTCAGTTCAGCTAAGTTAAAACGTGTTCATTTCATGTCAATCCTGAGTACATCTGTTTGATCAGATTGATAACTCGGAGTAGTTTCCCTTAATCTCTGTAATTGAAAAATAAAATAAACTTCTTTGTTCCATAATTCAGAACAGAGGGAGAAGGTTCAGATTTCCGTTTGAGGCTGTTTGGATCGGTGTCTAAATGTTTAACAGTGTCCTGGGTAAACATACAAGTGTTAGGTGTTGAGGTTTATAAGGAGGGGGGGTCTGAACTGCACTCATAAAAGAAAACCTGAAAATATCCTAACAACATTAAACTCAATGCAATCTCACAAAGTTGAGTTAAGAAGTTTTAACTGATATACAAGTTTTAGCCCAGAATGTTCTTATTATCAAATTAAAGCAATGAATTTAATAATATCTGGCAAAAACTCCTTTATATTTGAAACTGTTGGCCAGTCCTCATTGAAACCTCTCCAGTAGGTCCAAAAGGAAATCAGGCTTCTAAAGCCAGGTATACACTATGCTATTTTTTTAAATCGTTGCTTGCAGCTAACACTGCACGACGAAACCACAGGGTTTCATTGTACAGGGAGTTCACAGCTCACAATGCATGTTCTCAAACTGTGCGACCCGATGCAGTGATGCGATCTACCTGCTCACACTCAACAGTATATCTAAAAAACACACGGTACTCTGTCCAGTAGTGAGATGGCGCTACTCTGACTCGTCTATCCAGAAGCCAAACGAGTAGAAGAGGAATATGAAGCTCACTAGTGAAACACACTGCCTTGGCAGTTTGTGCAATTTTGTGCTGAAAGCCCTAAAAAGAAAAGGTGACGACGTATTTGGACAAAGACATGGCTGAGCAAACGTGGCTACTACGGTCTGTCATTTTTATAGAAATAACTCCATTTCACCAAAAACCCAGCCATGCTTCTGTGTTTTCATCTGAGAGGAAGTAGAAAAGGAATCCTTGTTTGCGCATGCTCACTGAGCGATTTGCCCACAATGCCCGACTGAAAATCAAACATGTTAGATTTTCTCCCGACCTCACAATTCCTGATCGGGAGGTGGTCGTGAGAGGCTGGTCGCCCCTTGTTACCCCCTGTACACTACACGACTCACAATGAAAAATCCTCGCACGACTGGAATGTCGACCCGAAAAGGGCAAAATATCGCACCGTGTAAACTGGAGTTGATAAAAAGGAGCACATCACCTGTATGTGCTAACTTTGTTGTTCCAACTGACCTCTTTGAGCTGTTTCACTCTTACTCCATTACTCAATGAGCTCATACACTACTATTTATCAATTACATTTTTTTCTAACTACAGCTCCTAACTTGAAACGTTTTGAGAATCAGATATTTGGGTTTCATCAGGTGTCTCACATAATGACATTATTTTT